GTCCTCGTCGGGGAGCACCAGACACCATGACTTTGTGAGTAATCTGCACCTCCATAATCCCTGTGGTCTTGCAAGGCATTAGGGGCCATGTAGTCACTGCTGAGTAGGAGGGAGGAACAGACGAGGTGGGTAGATTGGAGCTGCAAAGGAGAGCTTGTAGAACACTACAATTGGCAACCGGCACAATTACATGGGTTTGTAGGCTTACAGTGGACATATGTGACATGTTTCGTAGCAAAGATGTGTTGGATTTGACGATATACGACAGAGTGGTATACTAGGCATGTGCGAGAACCATTCGCAGAATGGAGAAAACGTACATCATGGACTCTTCGGCACCATATGCCCTCCGTAACATCCGCCCACAGCTTCCAGTGAGCCTTCCAGGTATCTCCAGGGGTTGTTTGAAGATATATGCGCGACAGATGCAGAAGACAGCGTGAAATCGACCGAAGGCGGGTGGAACATCCGACATACGAGCGGCCAACTTAAAACCGGCACCGTGCCCTGCGCGTCATGATCCTGAGCCGGAATATGCAAGAATGAGGTGGTTACATTGAGCTGTCGAGGAGATATCGTCGTCCGAAGTTCCTTTGGGGGCGCTTAGGAGGGGAAAACAGGCAAATGCGCGAGACGCGGCGCGACGCTCTCACGACAAGCGAGCTGAAACCGGCTGTAGTGTAGACCTCTAACATCCGCCACCGTCTCTCTCGTCCTCCACCACATCCGCACAGCGACGAGGCATGATTGGCCTCAAGGGCACCCTCAATGTACTTACCTTTTTTCTACGCTCATTCTCTGTCTCGCTTAACTGCTATACTCGACAGGTCATAGACAACTCGGGGGCACTCCTCGTCGAGTGCGTCAACGTCCTCAAGCAAAAGGTCAACAATGGTTGGGGCAGCGTCGGCGACGAGATCGTCTGCGTTGTCAGGCGTGCCCGCCCTATATCTGGCCAGGCCTCTGCCTCCGCACCGAAGGTACGCCAGGGCGACGTCCGCCGTGCTGTCATCGTCCGCACGCGTAAGGCCGTTCGACGGCCAGATGGCCGCTTCATCCGGTTCGACGATAACGCTGCTGTGCTACTCAACAACAAGCGCGAGATGCTAGGCACACGCATTGGTGGGGTTGTCAGTGCGGACTTGCGTATGAAGGGATGGGGGAAGATCGTCAGTTTGGCTCCCAAGGTCCGTCTCCATCCTAGCCTCGCTTGTCTCAGTCGTGACGTGTTCCTGCCTAGGTCGTATGATACATCACGTTATAATGCTACTGCTCTCCTCTCTGCTATCCATACTGTCTTTCGCTGCCTAGCCCCCTCGGTGATGCTGGATGCCGCGGCGGTTCAAGTATTGCCTCTAGTTGAAGTGCTTCACCAACACACCGCTGAGCACCTGTTCCTCCGTGCCATCCTCCTTCTTGGTTGTCTCCGAATTACCATACGAACTGATCCGTATGGTCCTCCACTGCTTGATCGTCGGTGCGTTTTCATCGGGGACCTTCCTCTTGATACCAACGCGTTGCAAAAGTGGACTCTCTTTGTGCGGCACGACCCGTACGTCGTCGTCCCCATAGGCGAAGTAGATCACGCCAAGACGGGTGTGGTCCCTCTGGTCGACGGGCGGCTGGACGACGCGGTGAATCGTGGCCTTGTAGTAACCTCCAGAGAGCATCTCGATGGTGTCTCCTGTGTTGATGATCTAATGCAAAAGCATCAGCTCCAATTCGAGGATGTTGCGAAAGGAACGAGGTACGTACGATGCTGTTTGGGATGTACTTTACGTATCGCCATTTCCCGTCGGGGCACATGATCTGGAGACTGACGACGGGCTGGTTCCAGAGAATGGTGAGGACTCCGCTGTCTGTGTGACCTTTTAGCCAGACGTTCTTCGTCTGAGCCTCGTCTTCGTCCGTGCGTGGATAACTAGAGATTATTGTCTCAACGTGACAGAACGCCTGCAATGTGTGGCAACTACTTAACTACTTCATGAAACGGACTGAAAGGCAAGTATGTCAGTAGTCATGCAACTGCCAGGAGACATACGAAGTACGTACAGAACGTCATGCCCTCCGCGTCGTAATGGTTCTGATTCACGAACGTCTCTTCTGGCAGCTCCAGTCCCAAAGCAAGAAGCCTATGAGACATGAGCGGGCATGTTTCCATCTATCCCCCGGGGGCGCACCTCAAAATGGGATGGAGGATATCGAAATGACAAAATTCCATGAAGGCGCGGACCTCCGGCAAGAACGGCTGCAGCGCCTTAGGGTGCTGCTGTCCGAAGGCTGGGCGGATAACTACTCGTCGGGCTGGTGAGCCATGTCCCGTAATTGGGATAAAGTCTTACAACTGACCCCCGTAGTGCTCGATCTGGTCGCGCACCCCATTGTCGATGTGCTACTCATGTCATTGCGAAGTCAGCGAACCCGACTCATCGTCGCCCACATCCACTCAAGAGCGGACATACCCAGTACTGGCGCGGCTTGTATCCCTTCCAGTCGCCTTCCCTGACCTTCGCGACAAGCTGCCTCTGCTCTTCCTCCGAGACCTGGGTGAACGGTACGTCCGCGATGTCGATTATGCGATCGTTCTGTCATCGCAATCTGGTTTGAGTACTACCAATCATGTACGTATGCACCGCCTGTGCTAGGAGCTCACCTGCGCTTGAGACAAACCGTGATTCACGACGCGCATGAATCCGTACGTGTGCATTGCGTCGCGGACTTGGGGCATGAGTTCCGCACGCCCCTCAGGCGTGTGTACCTTCGAGAAGTCGATGATGGGCACATCGGCATAGTCGACTGGAACCCACAAACTTGTAAGCTGCCGCGTTACGTATACAGTGGAAACTCTGTACTGACACTCCTCCTTCGTTTCTGGGGCAGGCTCATAGTGCGGTACTGGGGGAACAGTCGTAGCAGGCATGTTGACGTGTGGCGTGTGGCGTCGTATTGGAAAATCGAAGGGCAGCGAGGATCAGATTTGCTATGCTGATAAAGGGAGGACGGGGAACGTCACGGTGACCTCGCAATTGGTGTCCATGTGAGTCTTGGTAATGCTCGGTGTGGGAGTGCGCTGACGTCCGGAAGTGAATAGAGTTCTAGGGTAGCTTCCTCAGGGCGGCCGACCGGAATTGAGAGGGGACCTGAAGACGAGAAGGTGTATGCCTTCGACGGGGACTGAGCAATGCGACGTTGAGACGTCATGCCGTCGCGGGGGATAGGCGAGCCACTTACTGACCATGAAGTGCCGAGATCGGGAGCTATGCAATTCGTCGCTCGGTAGAAAGCGGCACAGCAACTTGAATGGCACGAACATTGGCTGTAAGGAGATTGGTGTAGAGACCGTGCTAGCTCGGATGGATACTCAAGGTGCGTCTTATCACTACTGCTGTTGCTGCTGGCCACACTACGAAAGCTCGCAAGATACTCGTACAACGCCTATGTTACTGCTCTCTTCGCTCCGGACTACGAAGACTTCTGAACTATGCCTCTACGACAGAGGCTCTCCTTTGTCCCTTGCCATCAGTTCCAATGTTTGATCACCACCCCATTCACTACCTCCTCCTCGGTGCCGTCGTCCTTGCGCTTTCTCTCTCTCTCCGAATCTCCGTAAGTACTTGTACGGATGACCCTCCATTCCTTCTGTGTAGGAGCATCCGCGTCCTCACAACTCCTCGTAATGCCAACGCGTTGCAAAAGAGGACTCTCCATGCGCGGCAGGAGCCGCACGTCATCATCGGCATAGCCGAAGTAGAATAGCCCGAGACGAGCGTAGCCCTGTTGATCCAGAGGCGGCTGGAAGACGCGGTGGATGGTGGCCTTGTAATAGCCCCCGCACATCTTCTCCATCGAATCGCCCAAATTGACGATCTGTCGAAGAGGTAAGTTCTTGTCATGGAAGCAAAAATAGATGAAGGTCACGTACGATGCTGTTAGGGATATACTTGACATACCGCCACTGACCATCGGGGCACATGATCTGCAGTGCTACAAGGGGCTGGTTCCAGAGGAGTGAAACAGTACCGCCGTCGGTGTGTCCCTTCATCCAAACGTTCTTGGTCTTGGCTTCGTCATCTTCTGTACGCGGGTAACTGGGAGCAATCTGGTGAGTGCCGACTTCATCTCCTCCCAAATAAGGCGTCTGACCATTTTGCGAAACGAACTGGGCCACTGTCCCCGTCAGCAACATGACAGAAGGCTGACGGTGTACTTACGGAACGTCATACCCTCGGCCTCGAACTGGTGCTGACTTACGAACGTCTCTTCAGGCAATTCCAACCCTAGCGCGAGCAGCCTGGATACATTTCAGTGGGTGGCACACTTCTTAGCGTCCTCAAGCGCACCTCAGGACAGGGTGAAGGACATTGAAGTGGTTGTGCTTCATAAAAGCGTGGATCTCTGGGAGGAATGGCTGCAGCGCCTTAGGGTGGTGCTGCTCGAACGCCGGACGGATCACTAGCACCGAGCTCATCAAGGGAGAAGTCCTGCCTGCATGGGGGGACTTACTAGCGTAGTGGTCGATTTGGTCGCGTACGCCGTTATCGACGTGCTAGACACGGAGTGTCAGATCATGCTCTTTGTCGGAGAATCAGTCCAATAGACGTACCCAGAACTGACGTGGCTTATATCCCTTCCACTCCCCTAGTTCTCTGATCTTGGACACGAATGACCTCTGCTCCTCCTCGGGAACTTGAGTGAATGGGACGTTGGCGATGTCGATCAAGCGGTCATTCTGCCATGGGTCAGTATCCTACAGTCGCAGACTTCATTCTACAAGCCAAGTCTCTTACTGACCTGAGCTTGCGATAGCCCATGATTTACAACGCACATGAAGCCATAGTTGCGCATCGCATCCCGTACTTTTGGCGCAAGTTCTAGGTGCCCCTGGGAGGTGTGCACGTTGGCAAGGTCAATGACAGGAACCTCAGCGTAGTCCACTGTATGAACGGTGTTAATGAGACTAGATGCTGACGACGTGCTTGAGGATGCTATACTAACAATTCTCCTTTGTCTCTGGAGCATGTTCGTAATGAGGGACCGGTGGGATGATGGTGGCCGGCATATCGCTAATGAGGACAGTGGGAGTTGAGTACGGGGGAACGAGCAAGATAGGAGCTTCTATATATGGAGATGGGAACCACAGGACACCGTATCGAAGAAAGAAAATGAGTTTCCTACTCCAGCGGGATTTCCCATGGTCTGACGTATGAGAATCATGTCGAAGTATAGGTTACCGAGGATCACGAATCGACATTAGATGAGTCGCTCCGATGGTGCTCTCGTTCACGAATTCAGAATGCAAATGGTGAGCTAAGTACCAGTATTGAAGCAGCATCTCAATAGTTGAGATACTCGTTCCCAATGTTGGTACACCCTGGGCAGGTCGTATGAAACATCACGCCGCCTCGCCACCCAATTCTCAGTGTAGCACGTGCTATTCTACAGTCGTTCAACACATGCCGTTTCCTAATGAGTAAACTCGAGTCTCGTATCCGACCAATCACGTAATCCTCTCTTCAGTCAGTTCCAGTGCTTGATCACCAGCCCGTCCACGATCTGCACCTCCATACCGTCATCCTGCCTTGTAGTCTCCGAATTACCATACAACGTCGCGCGGATAATGCTCCACTCTTTCATCGTTGGTGCATCCTTGTCATCACATTGTCTCCTGATACCGACCCGCTGCAAGACGGGACTCTCTTCATACGGTACGAGGCGCACATCGTCGTCAGTATAGGCGAAGTAGAAGAGCCCGAGGCGAGAATAGCCTCTTTGGTCGCTAGGCGGTTGGAAGACACGATGGATGGCCGCCTTATAATAACCTCCGGAAAGCATCTCCATTGCATCGCCAAGGTTGACAATCTATCGGAATAGCAGCTTTGTAAGCGATCCGGCAAGGTAATGTAAGTCGCGTACAATTCCATTCGGGACATGTTGAACATAGCGCCATTTGCCGTCAGGAGACATGAGTTGGAGTGCAATGATAGGTTGACTCCACAAGAGGGAGACAGTGCCGCCGTCGGTATGCCCCTTCATCCAAACGTTCTTGGTTTTCTCCTCGTCGCTGTCTGAGCGAGGGTAGCTGTCATCATGTTGGTAAATCCCGGAGTACAAGCCTCAAAGACCGCTTTAGCTTACTACTTCGAGAAACAGACTGGAAGTTCAAGGTTTAGGCTCACTAGTAGCTAACATGTATTAACAAGTACTTGCCAAATTTCTTGCCTTCAGCTTGGTATCGATGCTGGTCGACGAAAGTATTCTCCGGCAACTCTAGTCCTAAGGCAAGCAGTCTATGGTACGTGAGTCAGGTATACGAACATTGGTCAACTTGACGTACTTGAGGAGGGGATGGAGGACTTTGAAGTGGTTGTGCTCCATGAATGAGTGGATCTCTGGCAGGAAGGGGACCAGTGGCTTAGGATGATCCTGCTTGAAAGTCGGAGGTATCACTAACCCCCAAAATATACTCGTCATCTCTACATCAATGGAGGATTTCGCAAAATATACCCATGTATTGGTCAACCTGGTCGTGTACTCCGTTCTCAATGTGCTGGTATGCGACGCGAGCGGATTAAAAGGTGTTCTTGCACTATGTCAGAACTTATGCAAATTCCTCACCCATGATCGCAAGGGCTTATACCCTTTGTACTCGCCCAGATCTTTGATCCTCGACACAAACTTTCTCTGTTCCTCTAATGGTACCTGAGTAAACGGGACGTCGGCAATGTCCATCATGCGGTCATTCTATTGATAGGTCAGTTCCGCATGCATCCGAACGAATTTGCTTACTGACCAGCGCTTGCATGAGACCGTGGTTTATAATGCATATGAAGCCGTAGGTACGCATCGCGTCGCGAACCTGCGACACAAGCTTTGCTGTACCCCCTTCACTATGCAGCATCGAAAAATCGATGAGGGGGACATAGGCCCAGTCCACTGCGAATCAGTATGGTCAGTGACGATGCGTACGATCTCTAACTTGCGCTGACGTTTTTCTTGGGTTTCAGAAACATGTCGATAGCGTGGTAGCGCAGGGACCATTTTGGCAGGCAAGTCGGTGGGGGACGCAGCCATGCGACAGACTCCCCTCGCACACTCAAGATTTAAGTTGAAGTGGCATTGAGATCTAGGCGCGGAGAAGGATCTCGCGCCGAACTAGAAGAAGCGTACTCTTACTCACCATGAGAGCAATATAGCCTTTCCGGTCGAGTAATTTGTTCCCTTGTTAGAGGACGCCTCTGGACCGTTAGTAGGAAGAGGGGACAATATGACGTATCGGCCCTTGAAGTGCTTCCACTCGCTGTCCCAATGGACTCAAGCCGCATATGATGGCGTTGTACTGGTCACACGCATAGCTGCTGTCAAATAATGCGGTCCTTGTAACCTGTTGGACTCGAATAGCAGCATGTCTTCGCGTCTCGTCAATGGCGTTACAATTACGCTGATTCTTGCGAAGACTTCGATTGGAGGGCATGATATAACATCACAGGGTGTACTTCGCTTCGTCACTACTAGTACGACTCCACATAGATCGTTTCTGGTACGAGTACACTCACGACGAACTGGTCACTGCCTGTACAGTGCATGTTCCTTCCCTGCCCCCACTCAATTGTAATGTTTCACAACCAATCCGTTAACAATCTGCTCCTCGATGACGTTATCCTTGCGTTGTAACAATTCGGGTATCCCATACACTTTCGTGCGGGCCCGCCGCCATTCGCCCATTGTCGGCGCGTCTTCATCAGCAAACTTCCTCGTGATCCCAACCCGCTTCAGCACAGGGCTGTCTTTCATCGGCACGATGCGCACTTCGTCGTCGCCTGACGCGAAATAGAGGAGGCCCAGGCGGCAGTACCCACGCTGGTCTGCCGGAGGCTGGAACACGCGATGAATCGTAGCTTTGTAGTATCCACCGGACAGCCATTCCATCGAGTCTCCCACGTTCGCGATCTGAAGTTAGAAGTAAGGGTTGTTTCCTCCTAAGGATACCCATGGATAGCAACATACGATGGCGTTGGGGATCTGCTTCACATAGCGCCACTTGCCGTCCGGAGACATGATCTGCAGTGCAGTGACGGGCTGACACCAGAGGAGCGAGATGGTACCAATGTCTGAGTAGGGGGTATGAATAGCTACATAGGATACTTCACGCTTCTCGAAAAGTGGTACTGACCAGTGTGTCCCTTCATCCACACGTTCTTCGTCTTGGATTCGTCTTCTTCTGTCCTAGGGAAACTAGCATGGATCTCAGGAATGGACATTCAGCCTATGGACGAGGCTGTGGGCCAGACTTACTATTTCATGAAACGGACTGCCATAAAGATGTGAACGGTAGCGAAGAGAGATGAAACGAGATGCCTCACGGTACGTTTCACCTTCGGCATCGAAGTTGTGCAGCTTGACAAATGTTTCTTCAGGCAGCTCCAAGCCTAAGGCGAGAAGCCTGTGCATGTATCAGAGGCGGGACGACGTTTCTCCTATGCCACGTACCTGAGAATAGGGTGGAGTACGTTGTAGTGGTTGTGCTCCGCGAAGGCCCGTAATTCGGGCAAGAAAGGCTGCAGCGCTTTCGGGTGCTGCTGATTGAAAATGCGCCGATGCACTGTAGGAGGTCAGGTGCGCTCAACCCTCGATGGCCAAGCAGAAACAAACTGTTATAGCTCTCAATCTGGTCGCGGACGCCATTGGCGATCGTCTGAAGCGGATACGTCTGAGCAAGAGAGGAGCTCGAATCAAACTACAAAGCTTACCCAGAATTGACGCGGCTTATAGCCCCTGTAGACGCCTTGCTCTCTCATCTTCCCCATGAAGTTCGCCTTCTCTTCGTCTGAGACATGAGATAAGGGGATGTCTGCAATGTCAGACATGCGATCATTCTGTACAAGGTGTTTTAGCCCTATTTTGCCTACTATAGACTAGACCTTTGGGGGAAATACCTCGGCTTGGGTCAACCCATGATTCACGATATACAAGAATCCATAGGTACGCATGGAATCGCGAACCAACGGAGCCAGCTCTTGACGCCCCTCTGGGGTTTTCGCCTTAGATATGTCAATGATGGCTAGGTCTGCAAACTCCACTGCAACGTGGTTTGGCACTGGGATAGTCCTCGAGAACAGGTGGACTCACAGTCTTCTTGCGTCGCTGGCGCCGGTTCATAATGCGGGACGGGAGGAATGATTGTGCCCGGCATCTTGGGGAACTTGTGCGGTGGCTTGTCACTCAGCTTCGCTGTCGCTACAGTATTTAAGGCCTGGTACAGAGGGAGATGCGAATGCCCACGGCTCGATCCTTTGAGTTCAAGGGTTGTCGCCACGAGCATGGATGCATAGCTGAGCTGAATTTGGGGTCCACGCAGTACATTCCTTGAGACCGCACTCAACCTTCGAGTTCCATTGCCTCCGTCTCTTTCTGTACTGCGGGATATCCTATGATCATGCGTGAGTCAAAGATGATGCAAGGTCAATTATGAAGGTACAGATTCCTGCGATGCTGGCTTCGTCGAAGTGGAAGACGACGTCGAGTCAACGTCGCACTAGGCCCAGTGCACAGTAAGTATAGAGAGGTGCTCCGATGACTCCGAGAGTCAGGTTCGAAGAATCTCATACTGATAGCAAGAAAAGCGCAATCCTTAGACTCTTTCGGCATGTCATCTATGCTATCATTCATCCCTACATGTCTGTCTGGCGCCTCGATCTAGTTGTAATGCTTCACGACCACGCCGCCAGATACCTCCTCCTCGTGACCGTCCTCCGTCTTCTTCAGTGGGACCGTGCCATAAGTCCGGGTCCGTGCCTTGCGCATCTCCTCCATTGTTGGCGCATCCTCGTCTGCACACTTGCGCACGATGCCGACACGCTGCAATGCTGGGCTGTTCTTCATGGGCACTAATTTGATGTCGTCGTTCGGGTAGCCAAAATAGAACAGGCCAAGCCGAGTGCAGCCACGTTGATCAGGAGGTGGCTGGACGACGCGATGTATTGTCGCCTTGTAAAAACCGCCGGAGAGCATCTCCATGGTATCGCCTATGTTGACAATCTGTGTTTTGACACACAACATGTATGAGCTCTTCGGATGATGACACAATCATGGTAGGGTCAATACGTACAATGCCGTTAGGTATGTGATTCACGTAGCGCCACTTTCCGTCGGGCGACAAGATCTGAAGTGCCGTCACGGGCTGGCTCCAAAGGATGGAGACAGCCCCGATATCTGCGATTGTCCGACAAAGAGCTGCATTGGTACTTCATCGTTGCGTACGCACAAGAGACCCCACCTGCATGGCCTTTCATCCAGACATTCTTGGACTTGACCTCGTCCTCTTCCGACCTGGGGAAACTGGTTGAAGTGAGCCAGGACCCTCTTTGCACTTATCGAGAGGCGTAAAACGTACTACTTCATGAACAGCACTACACGAAGGCAACAAAGTCAGCAGCGTTCGGAGACCGTGCGAAGCTATGTACTATAGGTTTCGCCTTGGACGTCGAAGTCGAACATGTCTATGAACGCTTCTTCGGGCAACTCCAGGCCGAGAGCAAGAAGTCTACCATGGTGTCAACTTAGTAGCCGGCAGTTGAAGCCAGTGCAATCACCTCAGTATAGGATGTAAGACTCTGTAGTGACAGTGCTCTGCGAATGCCCGAATCTCTGGGACAAAAGGTTGCAACTCCTTGGGATGCTGCTGCTCGACTATAGAGTGATGCATATTGTAATGCTCGATCTGGTCCTTCACGCCGTTGTCAATGGTCTATGAACATGACGGACGCGGGGTAAGAATCCTGGCTCAGTGCATACGGGTGATATCGTACCCAAAACTGACGGGGTTTGAAACCTCTATATGACCCTGTTTCCTTGATTTTGGACGCGTATTGCCGCTTATCGTCCTCCGAGACTTGGGAGAACGGGATGTCTGCTATATCAACCATCCTATCGTTCTGAAACAGCTGTCAAAATGCAGGCCCTAAGTCACCGAAAGAGTAGACTCACCTGAGCCTGTGTTAGGCCATGGTTTACCACATAGATAAACCCGTACGTCCGCATGGCGTCTCGTACGATGGGTGCAAGCTCGGCACGACCCTCCGGCGTGCTCGACTTGGAGATATCGATGATAGGAAAATCTGCCCAGTCGACTGCAAGCGTGATTAGTGGAATGATGAGCATGACTATACTCTGATTAGAAACGAACACTCACTATCCTCCTGCGTGACAGAGGCCGACTCATAATGAGGTACCGGAGGCAAAGTAGTAGCAGGCATAGTGAACGCGAGAGAGACTGAAGGCAGCTGGGCACGTAATGGGAGGACGAGCGACAAGCTAGAAATCAGATCCTCATAAGTGAATCTGATTCCCTCATGAGAGAACCTTGCCCGATGAATAAGTGATCACTGAACGGGTTGCTCGACGTTTTTTCGGCGGTTTCTCGACGAGGAACGACTATCAGATAGAGAGACGTAGTCACTACAGGTAAGACTAAAGAGCTCCCGAAAGACGCATCGCAGGCCGACGTTGGCAGGCGGGTAACCCAGTAAGAGCCTTCCATTCTGCGCATTCTCACAAGAAGGCCGCTAGAGTGAAAGCTAGGCAGCTTATCAGTGAGTACCTGCAAGTAGGCAACTATCTTGTTCACACCGCTGCTATCCATGGGCAGTCGGTGGGACCGGGGGAGGGCGATAGCGTATAGAGTACCTGATATGACCGGTGACGGATACCCAGCATCGAGCATGACGACAGAGCTTCTTCGTAGATGCTGCATCCATAGATAATCAGAGGCAGGACGGAGAGCGGAACGTTGCACATGACTTACTGCAACCCGTTACACGTTAACGGTGTTCGGCACCCGATGCCATGTCCCATGCGTCCGTCGTACAGGGGAGCAAATTGAAACCCCAATTCCCGGACAAAAGACACCGAAGACAACCCACGCATGACGGCGGCCATCCTGTAGTCAGAACCGCTGGGCTAGTACACGCGCCCAATTTGTTGTACATAGCGTATCCAGTTCTGCGTCGTTACACAGGTGCCATAGTAAGGCAAACGTCTGCCAAGACCATCCCGCTGACCGAAGACTAGTTGTAGTGCTTCAGAACGATTCCGTTGATGTCCTGCTCCTCGATCGCATCGCCTTTCTTCGTAGTGGCCTTCAATCCGTAGGCCATCACGCGGGCGCGCCGATACTCACCCATCGAAGGCGCAATGGCGTCGTCGCATTTGCGAACGATCCCAACCCGTTGGAGTGCCAAGCTTTCCTTGAAAGGGACGAGCTTCACATCATCGTCCGGCAACGCGAAATAATAGGCCCCGAGGCGCGTGAAACCTCGCTGGTCCGCGGGAGGCTGAACGACACGGTGTATTGTGCCCTTGTAGAAGCCCCCAGATAGCATCTCCATTGCGTCTCCGACGTTCACAACCTAGTAAACAGAAGCTCAGTCAAGAGCCACATGGAGGAACAAAGAGCTAACTAGGGCGTTGTCCATATGTTTCACCCAGCGCCACTTTCCGTCTGGAGACAGGATCTGCAGGGCGGAGACAGGTTGGCTGTATAGGATAGTGACAGTTCCTTGGTCTAGTGCGCAGAGTTGAATAAATGCTTCACGGCGGGGTGTCCCAGTTCCGATTGCTCACCGGTGTGACCTTTCAGCCAAACGCCGTTTGTCTTGATCTCCTCTTCGGCGGTGCGAGGGTGACTACGCGGCATCTGTAAGAGGGTCAACTGTGAGAACCAGCGCACTTACTACTTGATGAACCGAGCTGTCGCGGGAAGAAGTGAGCTTGTCTCATAAAACGACGAGAAGGACGACATACCATGGCTATCCCCAACCGCGTCGAATTCATGGAGATGCACGAACGTCTCTTCGGGTAACTCCATCCCTAACGCTAGTAGCCTACAAGCACATCAGGGCAGGAGCAGAACATGACGTAGTGGTGTGCATACCGCAAGACAGGAAATAAGACGTTATAGTGATTGTGCTCAGAGAATGAGCGGAGCTCAGGGAGGAAAGGCTCTAGCGCCTTAGGGTGCTTCTGTTGCCCACAGATCGAGCGATGCACTGTCGAGGCAAAGTCAGAGTTCCATGCAACGCGCGAGGCCAGAGCACTTACGAGCATATTGCTCGTGTTGGTCCCGTACACCGTTTTCAATGGTCTACGACGACCAATTAGGAAATCGCGAAATGGTGAAGCATGGTAAACGTACCCAGAGCTGGCGAGGTTTATACCCTATCTTCGAACCCTCCTCTTGAATTTTGGCCGCATGATCCATCCGTTCTTTTTCAGACACTTGCGTGAAGAGGACGTTCCCAATGTCGAAGATGCGGTCAGTCTGCGAGCGTAGTGAGCACGAATGAGATCCAAGAATAACCACGTAGACATACCTGGGCCTTTGTAAGTCCATGGTTCACAACGTACATGAACCCAACACTGCGCATCACATCACGCACGCGAAGCGCGAGCTCCGCGAGACCCTCGGGGGTCGATGCTTGCGAGAGATCAATAATCTCTAAGTCTGCCCATTCGACTGTGCCACAAGTTAGACAGGTATCAGTGGGGAATTCGAACACGAGGATGAGGAAGTTACTCACGTGTTTCAGCCGTGGGCGGAGCGGGAGTATAATGGGGCACTGGAGGTACCGTAGCTACAGGCATTGAGTTTCTTTGTTCTGGTCCAATGGCTGGTGCCGTTAACTTGAAGAGAGAAAGATCGAGTAAGCAGGAAAACCTTGCGTCGCCTGACCCCCGTCCAAGCTGACGAGCGTCGTAGATGTCATACAGACAGCGGCGAAAGGGCACCTGTCGACATTCGAAGCAGGAAGCTCTGTGCAGGTACAGTTCCGTGGCACCGGGGTGCAAGCCGCTCAGCTGACGCTTCGCCACCGTGAGACCATTTAGAGGATGAAGCTTGGAAGCTTCCTTCGCGGCTTTCGCGTTCTGTGAAGAGAAACGCTCCGTAGTCTCCGACATCTCACGCACCCAAATATCGACGGTTCGGCACTCCGCACGGGTGTCCGCTGAAGATCATCGTGTGGTGCTTCTGTAAGGGCGCACAACACAAGAGTACTGTTCACAGAGCAGTCCGTGGATTGCGCGCCAGGCGGCGGCAAAGGGCATCGCCGCTAGGTTCGTGCACACCCGCGAGAGCTCGTCCCGTTGGAGTCGATTGGACGTAAAATTACTCGACGTATGGGAAAAAGTAGCGGTCTTACTGGAAGTGTCAGCTAGAGACTTGGACTTGGCGCACCCCTCCACTGCTCAATCGATCCTCGCTTTACGAGGTATGGACTCCGCTTCGTGCCAACAGCATCCCGCTAAGTTCAAGTTCGGCCCGCAGTGACGTGTAGTCCATAAACTGGGGCGGAAAGCCACGCAAAGACAAGCAGTTGCAGAGCATCAAGCGCTGATAAACGCTTAGCGAGGAACGATATTTGGAGGTCAATTCAAGGCCGTGGGTCATAGATGAGGTACTTAGATGAGCTCCTGGAGATTGGTGAATAGGCTTTTGCAAGCTACAAGTCGTGCGCCCATAACTTGTCATACAAGCGCCTTACTGATAAGGCAGAGACGGTAACGGGACCCCTGAAACCTCGCGCCGGCTCCCAAATCGGCACGGCGGAGCGCTCAAGTACGCAGCGCCCGCCGTGATGCGCCCGTAGCATCATTCAGAACTCCGCCTTTAATGTGTTAGACTTCAGTTTGCTCTTCTACTAGTCTCGTGACCAGACGTTCGGAGCTCCAAGCGGGAACGAAAAATCGGAGGTTCCCGAGCACCTTACAGTGCTTTGCAAAAAAGATTGCAGTGCGAAGCGCGCAAATCCGGTTTGCCCCTGTTTGGTCCCCCGTCGGCTACGGCGAGGATTTCTGTTTCGGGAACCGGGCGCTCACAAGGACTCCGTCCGTCAAAGCCGTGCTTGAGTCCGTGCCCGCTTTCCTACTGCCAAAATGCACGACGATGTTCTTTGCCTCAGCAACATAAATTTCTGAACATATTTGGTAGGTTTGTACCTGAAAAATCGACCATGCTGCAAGGAGGCTCCCGGCATTGCGGGCGTTTCCCCGGGTGGGCAAACAGAGACAAACAGGATTTTGCGCGCTTCGCACTGCAATCTTTTTTGCAAAGCACTGTAACGTCTGGTGGCTTCACCCCCGTGACTCCCCCATCGGTGACAGGCCGTGACGTCTCCTGCTTGCCTTCTACCGTCACTAAGCTTCCTGTCCGCCAGCGCTTATGGATCCCCGAGGCGCCGAAGAAGACATCGAGGCGCACCCCAGCGGTTGGGGAGCCCTCTTCGACGACGACGACGACGACGACGCCGACTATGCGCCATCCGACTGCGACACATTGTGGCTAATACTGAACATTGACAGCGGGCTGCCACATCGGGCACCAAGGGCGCACTCCGACTTTTTCGGACTGCCCCGACTGGGCGTCGGGATGTGACGCGTGTCACCGATGGGGGAGTAACGGGGGTGATGCCACCAGACGTTCGAGTGTCCGGATACCTCCGATTTTTCGTATCCGCTTCACACTCCGAACGTCTGGTCACGAGACTACTCTTCTACTAGTACTTACTCTGACGATCGATCTTGCATAACAGCAAAAATGGGGCCGTTTCGACACGCGTTGTCTACCAGCGCGTGGATTGTGTTGGCATGGAAGAGCGACATGGGCGAGGCCGCCGATACTCAGTGAGTGCCCGCGTATATAACCCACGATTTGACTTGTACGTGGCTCCAGCCGAGAACGCTTTCCACACCTGACACGACTGCGGCAGGACTCAGCGACACGTCTACAATGGCTACGCTCACCTACACGCCAGTTGATGACATACCCAAGGTGATGGTGATTTCAGCGCAGGCATGTCGCTCACATAACTCATCTCGAGATTCAGGTTCACGCTCGTGCGCGTGCGGCGTTCGAGAGTGGGAAGACGAAGTCTGTCGCTTTCCGCAAAGAGCAGATTGCCCAGGTGGGGTACCTGCTGAAGGACAACGAACTGTGCCTGAAGGAGGCTCTCAAGCAAGATCTTGGGCGACCGCATCTCGAGACGGAGTTGTATGTCCCTTTTTTGCGGTCAACTCTCACCTCAGCGACCATCTCTCTAACGCAGTCGCTGCTCTGACAGCTTAGACTTGTCCCCTGTCTACATTGACGTGGCGAAAGCATACAATTCCGTCGAAAGATGGGCCGCGGAACAGAAGGCCGAGTTCGACCTCAGCTTCTGGGCGATGGGCCCCAAGTATCGACATGAACCGAAAGGCGTCGTGCTCATCATCGCGCCCTTCAATGGGCCCGTCGTCCTGACCATGTCTCCTATCGTAAGTGGACGGTATTGAAGCCATTAGCATGAGCATAACGTGGCGCACCACTTGATACATGTCCTTGTTGCGAACTATAGGTTGGCGCAATCGCGGCAGGGTGCGCCATGGTGCTGAAGCCATCGGAACAGACTCCGGCGACGAGTGCGCTCTTTGCGGAGCTTTTCCCGAAATACCTCGACCCTGAGCTGTACCACGTCGTGAACGGCGGGGTACCCGAAACCACCAAGGTGCGTGCCATCATTTCTGACACTACCAGCTTTCACTGAACAACGTACGCTAGATTCTCGAGCTTCGATGGGATCATAGTGCGTTTTGCCAGTCATTGTCCACTGATTCGTCTGCCGGCTGATCATTCGGGTTTAGTTATGTACACGGGTAACGCTCGCATTGCTCGCATCGTCGCTGCAGCAGCCGCCAAGCATCTCACCCCATTGACCCTCGAGGTACGCCTCGTTCAGCTGTTGACGGTATCTGACTCATCCAGATGTCGTTCTAGCTTGGCGGTACGATAAGCTGGTTCCTTAAAAGTATACATGGCGTTTCATTGCGGATGTTTGACTGCAGGGAAGAACCCTGTTGTCCTCGATTCAAAGTCCGATATCAAGCTTGCCGCGAAACGCGTGTTCTGGGGTCGCTGCCTCAACTCCGGTCAAGTCTGCGTTTGCCCCGAGTACGTCCTAGTGCCTGAGCACCTGCAAGACGCGTTTGTAGACGCCGTGAAGGATGTGTACGACGAATCTGTCTCGTACCAAACAATCTGCTCCGGCTAAAGTATATTGCCTGCTAGGTACCAACAGTTCTATCCTGACGGACCGGAAAACTCAGACTCTCTCGGACGCATCGTCGGGGAGTCGCACGTGCAGCGTATCAAGAACTTGCTCGACAATACGAAGGGGAAGATTGTGTTCGGAGGTCAGGTCGATGTCTCGAAGAGATATGTTGCGCCGACCCTAGTTCGGGACGTCTCCGGAGACGACTCGCTGATGAGCGAGTAAGTCCCAAGCTTGCTCATCTCTAGATCCTGAACTGACTGTTTCCGCGCCGCAGAGAGATTTTTGGCCCCGTCCTGGTTGTCATTCCTGTGAAGGACACCGATGAGGCAATTCGCTTCATCAACAGCAGAGATGATCCACTCGTGGTATACGTGTTCTCACAGGATAAGGCCTTCCAGAGCAAGGGTGAGTCCAGGGCCTCATTTGTAATGTCGGGTACGAACAAACTTCTCAGTGTTCAACAACACGAAGAGCGGTTCGGCGGTCGCGAACGACACAATGATCATTGTCCGAGGTATGTGTTACTTGCTCAAGTCTGCAGACAATGACGCTCAGCGCGGGATCTGCAGTTCCCGGCCTCCCTATGGGTGGTGTTGGTGCGAGTGGATGTAAGTAGCTTTGTGATTAGACCCGCTCCGCCCGTAGCGCTGACCTGTCGTCGTGGCAGACGGGTATTACACAGGAAGGGACATGTTCGAGCAATTCACGCATAAGCGTGCATTCATTGACAACCCGAGCTGGTAAGCTTCCACTGCCACGTCATCGCAGACAGCAGCTCACGCCACGGCCTAATCTAGGGTTGATACGCTCGGTTTCGGATGCAGGTATCCCCCCTACAAGGTGCGCCCATCTCACCTTCCCAGAGCTGTATTGCGCGCTAAGCCACGATCATTAGTCGCTCGGTCCGCTCAACGCCCTATTACCGTCGCTCCCTCCCCGTCCTGGGAAGAATAACGGGCCACGAAGGTGGGCGTTATGGATGTCCGCCGCGCTCGTTGGCGCAGCTTGTGTCCTGCTAACACGCCAGGACGATCTCAATCGACTGTTGTAGTTGGTGCTTATTCAAGAGCCGCTTGTGAACATCTAGTCATCCTTCTGTACTGGTCGTGCTGTTGTATGACATGCTTGCATTGAGCTTCGTGAACGAGATCGGCCTTTTTTGACCGTGGCGAAATATGGCGTCGCGAGCCTGATCTGGACCACACGCGTCGCTGGGAACAGTACATGCTTCGCCGAAAACGCGGTCCGACTGGATCCGCAGCATCGTGGCCGTAGGGTGGTGAAAAGGTATGTGGCAACTTGCCCGTTGCACAGGCAAGTGATGATGCCCCCATGTTGTACGTTCTCGTTTCATCGCTCTTCCTGTTACATGCTCATCGCTATCGACTCTAGAGATTTAGATTGAAATCCTCAATCGACGCTACTTCTGCTGAATGCCCGCGTCGCTAGCTGGTAACAATGATCCTCGATATTCATATCCCCTCCGACTGCGAGAGACGCGCACATATACGACAGTTTGACGGTAACCAGGGTGCGTCTCCTAATCATCCCAATATTAATGTCTTGTCTGCTAATCGCGACAATATCCTAGACTTAATGGCCACATGCAGAGCACGACCTCGGAAGCATCATCACGAATCCATACGACGTCTGAAAATCACCTTCGACTGCCTCACGTCCATCCTGTCCGTCATTTCCCTCATACCAGTAGCCCAAGCGGCGGCCCCAAACAACGCGCTCCAGCTATTCCCACTCCTTCAAGCCTTCCAGTGTCAGGATCTATTCATTTCCTGGCAAGGCGGGATCCCAGACTATGGCCTTACGGTCATCAGCGACCACGTAGAGGAGTTTTCAGGCATATCTGGGACGACATTCCAGTGGCTGGTGGATGCTCCCTTGGGTACCACCGCGACCATATCGCTTAAGGACAGCACTGGCTCTAGTACCGACAGTCCGCTATTTCAAGTAGTTGACGGCCCTGGTTCCAGCAACAGTTGCTTGCCGCTCTCGTCTCCGACCACTTCTAGCTCTACCTCCACTTTCCCCTCTGCTTCGTCTCCGTTGATCACTGTGACTGTGGTAGAGAGCACTCCTACCTTGCTCTCCGGTGGACCTTCGCATCCCTCGCTTCCCGCTGGTGCGATCGCCGACATCGCGTTGGAGGCTGCACTATTGTCGCTTGCTATTGTCGGGCTGCTGATCGCATTCATACTTCATTGGAAGGAACGTGCGCGGGACGTAAGGGATGGAGCTGCAGCAGGTACGCGATATGTCTCGGATCAGGCCCAGCGCGTCCTTTTGACTTGGAGTATTGTTATAGACTGGCTCGAATCTCCCCGCCCGCTCACGCCGAATCCTTGGAGTATGAGCCAGTCCACGGCCGCAGCGTCCATCGCCCCCCAAGTTAGCCTAAGGCGTATCCAGGAGTTGCGTGACGGCACCCTCAGGCGGGGTACAACCACTGGCATGCAGAGCGTTGCTAGTCACCGCCACCATTCAGTCGTCGACACTGGCGCCAAGTGAGGCAACGGTCTTGTACACATTGCCTACTCTTGGTGATGGATCCTCCCCTCCCTCTGTTCGATTTGATGCCCAGAGGGAGAGGTGATGGAGGGACCTGCCTCAGTCAAATCTCTACGTGACGCGTTGGAACCTGCCCTATCTGATATAGAAGCAGACATCGCGAGTAGGCCCTCCTGTGAACGACGGTTGGCGGACTTGAGTGGGAAACCGTCTCAAACAACACGTAGTAGCGCGAACAGAGCCTTGTGAGATAGCTTGATGTATTCCCGCTGGACGACGGACTCCGTCATGGAGCTTGGCACATGTTTGAGTACGAATGTTTGATATGCCCCTCTTCAGCCTGGTTATTACTAGCTCTGATTGTGCTCTGATTATGTTGAGATGTCGCTGCCGAGGGCTAGTACTATACCTTGCGTTTAGGATACATCGGAGAGTCGATTGTAGCCTGACTGCATCAAGGGTGATCAAACGGAAGAACAGCGACGTTAGGATCGTTTCCAGACGTAACTATCATAGCTAAGAGATTCTTGAAGAATAGGTCAATATACAGCACGACATGGGTAATATCGTAGAAAACAACCAATGGAGTCTTGAGAATGTAAGCGGACCTCATACTACCGAATACGGAGGGGGGAGCCCGGACCCTCCTTGGTTCACGTCTCGTTGTTCTACAACCGCATCGACCATCTGCCCGCCACTTGCATCGTCACCCTCGGAGATAGGTTCAGGACCACCGAGCAAGCGCACGCCCGCATCCGTCTCTTGCCGGGGTGTCCTTGGTGATCGGGGCGTCCTCGGACTGCCCACGCTGCTCGCCAGAGTACTCGTATCGCGATCGCGACCTGTGTCGCGGTCTCCCGAAGAGCTGGAGGGAGCTGTGGAAAGCCCGAGACTCGCTGTGTGCGCTCGCAGGGGAGCCGTGGAGGCATCGGTGCTCGCATATGACATCGTAGACGTATCCGAGGTGTTGTGCGTGTGCAAGGGTCTTTTTGCCTTGCGAGTCTGAGATTGCCCATCCGAAAGAGACGTCGTGGACTGATGTGGGAGAGGAGGGACGGGATAAGGGCTATGAGGTACGCTGATCTCGCCGCGATCCGTGCTGGGGCTCGAGGGTCCCGAAACGATCACGGAGTCTGTAGGTGAGGGAGGCTTGAACGGGTCCACGACGTTAGCCAGTCCGTTCATGATGCCGTCGTACGTCATGGCAGGGAGGAGATCGCGCTGCTGCATAGCGAGCGTCGGGGCCCCATTGGCGAACGTTGGTGACAATACGGATCTGTCGATGTCGAAGTCATGAGTGCGGGGCCTGATGCGTCGCGCAGCGCGCTTGAACCACGAAGTGCGAGCAGATTCAGGAAAAACACCGCTTGAGCTGGACGAAGGTGAGGGTGTGTGTATCCCGGATCTGCGGCGACGGAGTCGGCGCGTGAGGATGCACCAGACCGCCAGCGCAGTGACGATAACTGCGATTGCCCCAACTCCGATGGCGATCCCTACGATAGGGCCTACACTCAGTCCTGTCCGCGAAACGGCGGCGAGTGTGCTGCTTTGTGAAGGTGAGCTAGTCGCAGAAACGGAGACGACTAGAGATGATGGACCTCCGATGCTAGTGGTCGGGTCACCTAACGCGGTGGAAGAAGAGCTGATGCAGCTGTTATCGGCCCCTGGTAGGACCTGCACAGATGGAATCCCGCCCGCGTCCCCGGCTGCGTCTTTGATGTCGAACATCAGGTTGCTACCCGCGGTGAAGTTGACTGTCCAGAGAAGCATCGATGCATTCAAGTTCATGTAAGCCTGAACGAGACTAGGGTCTTCGTTCCCGTCGGGTTTGAGTGGACCTATTTTGAGCGTGAATGGGGGGCTGCCGCCTGTCCATGTAAGAGTCGTATGGGCACATTGCGTGAAATTTGTTTGCTGGAGGAGTATGGATTCGGCGCTGACAACAGGTGCAAAGGACAGACTGAAAAGCACAAGCCCGACCGTGTATGCTATAGAGAACAGCTTCAACATGCTGTTCCTGACACTGCCTGTCATACGACGTAGTGCATGCTGGGTAACGTCGTAGACATTGTCCGTTGACGTCACCGAGTGCCTGAGCATCCGGGGATCTGTAGGGAAGTCAGTCAAATTCTGTGCATCGCGAAGAATCAACGCTTTCACCAATGCATAATGTCATGGCAACGCCGTTCCTAGATAAGTTCGACGTTATTCGGGACACGATGGATGGTGCGCTGTTGAACGACACGTCAAAGATATAAGGCGAGGCGACCTGATCGGTACGGCGATAAGCAGGGATGGAGTACATTAAGGCAACGTTGTAGTGTAGCGTTGTCGTAAGAGCAGTATTTCTGCACGTAAATTAGAAGTGGCGGGGTAGGAGAGGTGTAGGAGGGTGGCGAGGTGCAGGCGAGGTAAACAGCGTCAGAAGGAGGGCGAGATGGAAGGGGCTGGGGTCAGCTTTTAGAGTTCGTCCCAAAAGTTCACTGTCACTTCATGTTTCCGAAAGCACCCACAAAGCGCACGCCAGGCGATCCGAGTCCACCGGGCTGTTCCAGCCCAGTTTCCCAGTCTCGAGAAGTTTGCGGTCAGCTGCACTGGCGTGTTGGCACGCGCGCGTCTGATAACTGGTCTGTATGGAGGTGAAGATGAATGCATGAACTACCGCTAACCAGAAGAGTCCATCTACAAATTTGACGAAGCGATCCAGACGCGGGAGATCAAGACATATGTAGCCTGTACATGCACACAGTCGTTTGCATATCAAACTGCAGTCGACGCGCGCGCCGCGGGGCTGTTTGCCCGTGTTTGCAACGCTGTGAGCGAGCGTCTCTCTGCCTGTTTGGGACCGGCCTCTGTCAACCCATTGTGGCCATCAAGTACAAAAAGCATCTCCTGCATTGAAAGCCAACAAGGCATTGCTAGGGGCCATATTGTATGTAATATCAACCCGCTACGACATTTTTGAGGGATTTTATCTGTTTTCATTGAGGGTGCACCCACCGAAGTGGCAGTCCTAGCCGGTACCCGACGGCGGAGCAAACACGAACAAACAGGCTCGACGCGCGCAAGACACTGCAGTTTGATATGCAAACGACTGTAAATTATTGAGACCAGTGGCTCGAGAGCAGGGAGGCGCGGCAATACCGGTAGCCGGATTGCCGGACCCGGGATCTGAGAAATGGAAACGATCTAGACTCAACAGTCTCAAACGCTTCCTATGTTATGCTGTTGGCCGGCTCTCCCTTCTCACCGCGATACAGATACTGGAAGCATTGCGAACAAGTACATGCTGTCCATACAATGCTTGCAAAAATTAAGCAAGCTCCTATACAGCAGCCTGAAAGTCTGAAGGAACACAGCTTAGTACGTCGGTCAACTTGTACTCGCGCGTTGTTGCTTAGGCTCACACGAGCTCCTGTCCAGGATATTGATACTTAGACGCATCCACAGTTCTGGATTCAAGGTGCAGCCAGCCTAAACCAGTCTGCATGTGGGTGCCCACACTTCAATTAGAGATGAGTATAGCCGGCGGCATGACATCGAGCACCGCTTGTCCTCTTACGTACAGGAGGATAGTACCGTCCATGGCGACGTCGCCTCACCACTCACTCAAGCACGCCAATTCCTAAGTCACACCTCCCAGTCCACGAGTCCTCCCCTCATAAAGAATTCTACACAGTGAAAGGAAGTCATATTTGTCGATGGTGAGCACTTGTACTTCCGTATTCCCTACAGCATCTCCTGACCTCTGCACTCCGCTATCATATGTTTGAAGGGATCACATCGAGATGTCCGCTCATTTAACTTCAGTCAGTTGACGTGTATAAGATGGAAGCGCATTAGCCGCGCCAAACTCCTCAATGTACATAGTAGGTACATAGTCATTCTAGCGTATCTTTCGGGCTGCGTCCCCGGTGAGCTCATCATTATGCTGCATCTTGCGATGATCAAGTGCTCATCATAATATGATGTCAAACAATCACATCGTTTGAGAACAGTGGATGGTATTCATCTACACAACAAAGAAGTGGATCAAAGTCTCCGAGTCGCACTTTGTCAAATTTTGTCAGTCTACTCGGTGACGACTGAGTAGCCTCGTCAGTACAAGCCTGGTCAGGAATCCTCAAAATGACACTTCTACGTACCTGTGGCGCTCGTCGGGGATGACGGCGTTCTTGTAGGCTCCACGCTTTCCTGGACTGGAATCAGCAAAATGAGTAACATGTTGCCTCCATAAGCCTCGACCCCAGCAGCTTGTTTGATCTCAGTAGGGTCTTGGTCTTCGAGGGTCACGGGAAATGGCCCCATTTCTCTCCGCGACGCTCTCATCGCACTGGGACTGTGTTGTCACTTGCATATCAACCGCTCCGAATTCGCAACGTGGGTCCTCTAGCATGGCCCATAGCCGCAGGCACACATTTGGTCTCAATAGCTTCGAACTAGAATGGAAACCATCATTCACTGTCTCATCTCAATACTCTGTGGTATATTACGATGCTCTCCTCACGACGTAAGCTCTCCTTCAGGCCTGTAATACTGTTTTCTGCGACTGAAGAACTCGATATGAATATGGAGGGTGAACGTACGAAAGGAGATCAGAAATAGGAGGTCCGAGCCGGAGACGTCTATGGGGCCCCACGCTCTTCGTCCCGTCAGCGGATTCGGTAATGGAGCTCCTCGCAATTCATATCGAGGTAAGCAAGGATAGCTAAGGCAGTTATCGGAGGCGTTTTTGAACCCCCTCTACTCTCACGATCTGCAAAGAGAGGCCGCAATTGAGGTCGACTTTGCTTGCGCGACGCCGGTGTGTAGTGTAATTTCCTTCTAGAATATAGTCGTTGCTTGGTGGCACTATCTGTAGGGCATCGGAGTCGAATCAAGACCTAGAAGCGTGATGCGGAAACATTCCTCGTGACTGTTTAACAAAAAGGTAGACGGTACCACATTTGAAGGATTACAGAATGCACGTGAGAGGGCCCATGACGTCTTCATATCATGACAGGGAAAAGACTACAACTAATAACCAAAACGAGGACATCACGGCATGCCATTTAGGGGGAATTACCTCAGTTGATTGAGTAATGAGCATATGGCGGAGGTAGCGTTGTCTCCCCCGACTCGCTCCTGACGTCCGAGACCTCCGTCTCTCCAAGTGATCCAATACGCTCGGAGCCCCCTGAAAACCGCACGCTCCCATCCGCCCCGAACACCATCACGCCACCGCCCGTACCGCCATCCCTCAGCACCGACGAAGCCACAGCCTCGGGCGCCTCGTCAGATCCGAACTGCGTGGGGCTCACGCTCATAGCGCGCACATCCGCCGTAGACGCGTTCGTGCTTGAGTTTGATAGCTCCCGCATGTGCTTCTGGGCTCGCCTGATCTCCGAGAGCGACGTAGTCGACTCCCGTGGGACGAGGTATGGCGTTGGGCGCAGGTCCTGCTCGCCGCGGTTAGAGCCACCCCCGAACATGGACTGGGACGGGGCCACGAAGTTGTACGGTTTGTCCGGATCGGCAGAAATGAGCGTGGAAGAGATGCCGGTGTAGGGCACGCTGGAAGCTCCGTCTGAGAATGCGGGCGACACGATGTTCCTATCGTAATCTTTCCCTATGCACGGTGTGCAGAGAATCAGCCCATGTGCGAGAAATGTATGGTCGGCGAGAGATGAAGCGATTCGAGGCAACGCTACGTACCTGGTTGTTGCATAAGGGACCTGCGCCTCAGCACGGCCCAGATGGCACCGACGATTAGTCCGATGCCAATGAGGCTAACAGCGACCGCGATCCCGGCGATAGCGCCTTTACTCAATCCGCCTCCGGGAGACTGAACTTCGGTTGACATAGGGGGGACGATGGCTTGGCTTGAGGCCGTCATTGGGCTGAGAGTACTCTCGATGTTGCTAGAGGTGGCGGCCTGCGAGGTCGTCGGGCTGGCAGCGCTCAAGCAACTGGAATTCGAGCTCTGCAGCACGATCGAATGTCCGCCTGCACTGCCGGTCAAGCCGCTCCCGACCACATCAAGTTGAAGTGTGGTGTTCGCAGGAAAATCGGGTGTCCACGTGAAGACCAGATTAGTGATATTGATGTGCCGCTCGTTTTGGCTAGTAACTTGCATGTTGCCTACGAGCGGCTCAACATCTAATCTGTAAGGCGGAGTGCCTCCCGTCCAGTTCAGGGTGACGGGTTCGCAGAGAGTGACGGTGGAAGGTGGATGGAAGGATATCGGGTCTTCAGCGCTCACAAGAGGAAAGAGGAACGCAGCACTGAAGACGAGCCCACCCATCAGAGTCGAGAGAGGGCTGAGTTTTCGGGGAGATGGACGACCCCTGAAGACAGCATCGTAAGCGTATGCATGGCCTACGTCCATGGAGAGTGCGTGTGGAACGCTTTCTACAATGCGCACGGCAGTATCAGACGTTTTCAATCTGAGGGACTTTGAAGATCATATCACATACTGGCGTGCCCCATCGTATCAGCTCTAATCGCAAGATACGTGGATTGGTCTTCTTGAACCCCGAGGATTCTCTTGTCCTCTATTCCTGTAACCTCTGGCTTCTTGTTGCTGCAGGCCATTATTTGACTCTATCGGAGTCTCCGTTATACGACGAAGCGGCGATGCGTATAGTCAGGGCGTCTAGGAGTCGTCAGTGGAAAAGACGAGCATACCGGGTGTGCAGAGACTCCAACAGACCACCGGAAGCTACAGAAGATAGCAAAGATCTGGTACTCAGCTGGCGCTATTTAAAGCCAGCGTCCAAGTCCAGGCCACAGGCTGTTCAGGCAAGGTTCAAGGCTTTAGAGGGGTCGCGGGAGTCAGCTGGACCACCCAAGCATACGGAGACGCGCGCCGATAACACCTTTGAGGGGAAGGTATGCGGCTTTATTCTCATGAAGCTGAGAAGCTCACTATACCGCTGAGGTAAAACAACTGGAAGCAGTCGTTGCGGGGGGACGCAGGCGTGCCGATGGACCATGGCCAGTCGCGTGCGCTCGTCAGCAAGAGGTCGTCCAACACGTTGCTGACTGGTCAGCGACAGGTTTAGATATGACTAATTGAATACATACACGAAGATTGCGTGCAGTTTAGATCGCCCGCTCAAGGAAAGTTTTGCTCGTGGCAATCCGTCGTCTACAGCGAAGATATGAGGTGCGTAGATGGGCGTTTACCAGCGGTTTCGGGGTCCCAGAAGGCGGTGATCCGAGTATGCCACCTACGCATCAAGCAATGGTCGTAGAGTCATGTCATCGTATACTCATCTGCAGTCCGCCCTAAGCCTGATGGACAACACACCTTTGCTCGCATTTCTTTCGAGGCGCAGAGTAAGGAAAAGAAGGACGCGGTAATTCGTCCAGTTGCCCCCGGTCTACGTACCGATATCAATGTCGTCCTGAGTCCTTTTTCGAGTGGCCGAGTCGATGACGCATGCCATTGCCGCACTGGAAGCCTCTCTGAACTCCAATATTGGGCTCAGCCTTACAAGTCAATATCCTCGGTGCGTGGAAAGCGGAGTTCCGCACGCTGAAGCTGGTCAGGCTCAGGGGCCTTCTTGCGCTCCCAAGACGTGTTCAACCGCTTCTCGCAGGTGGAGATGCATCCATACGCAGTAGGTCTGTACTCACATGCACACTGCTCTACCGTTAGCCTATCTAATGTTCTGTCAGGGTGGGAGCCTCTGCTCTTCGCTGCTCAGGAATGCTAGTCAGCGGACAACCCTGACGTCGAATAATAGCCCCGTTTCCCATGTCCCCACGACCTCTGTTTCTCTTCTTGCCCTAGCGACTTCGCGAGGCCTTAAATACATACCTATATATATGACAGAAACTGCTACCGCCTCTAGTCGCACATCTTGGTCGCCGCACAGAGCCTTGAGCCATAATGCCCGCAACCACAATTCCGTACGCACCGCATTATGTCCCGGCCCCGGCTACCAAAGAAGATCGTAAGCCAGCCATTCGAGATTTTGCGCATGATACATGGACTCAGGCTTCCAACATAACGCAGTCGAATGGGCGGACCTTCCTATCATCGACCTGTCTAAGGCAGCCACTCCTGAGGGCCGCGCTGAACTCGCTCCAGCCATGCGAGATGCGATGCACACCCATGGCTTCGTCTACGTCGTGAACCACGGACTTACTCAGGCTCAGGTCGGTACCTCTAGGTTGCTCTCATGTGCTAATAATTCTAATTTGTCGTTTCGTCTATGACAGAGAGACCGCATGTTCGATGTCGCGGACGTTGCGTTCTCACAGGTTCCTGAGGAAGAGAAGAAGCAATACACTGCGAACTTCAAAGAGACGGGCTTGTATAGCGGATACAAGCTGCGCCAGTACTGGGTAGCGTGTCACAACTGCTGTCAATTGGCACATGCACTGACTCTGTCCAAAGCACATCGACAATGGCGTCAGAGATCAAATCGAACACTTCAACAGTACGCTAAGTTTTCCAACGGAGTATGGCGCGCGCAGAGCTGACATCGAGATCAATTGCAGTGCATCATGGCATCTACGGTCGCGACATCTATCCAAAGGCACTCCAACCATTCCTGGCTGAAATACGCACATTCTCGGAATACAATCACTTCAACATCCTTCATCCAATTCTGAGGTATGCACAGGCTGTACTCTCCCTACGCTATTCCTCAATATATCCCGTCCCTCAAGGCTTCTGGCCAGGGGGATGGAGCTCCCAGAGGAGACGTTCGTGAACATGCACAACTTCGACGCCGCCGGAGAAGGGTGGAGTAAGTGTCGCTCTTTGTATTATGACATGATATTTACATATTGAATGCCTTTCTTTCTACCAGTCCGCTTCATGAAGTAGTGAGTGCGATGTGCACAGGGCCTTCGGGGTATCACAGCTGATGTGGGAGCTACAGTTATCCGCGCTCAGAGGACGACGAGAAGAACACCAAGAATGTCTGGCTCAAGGGCCACACTGGTGCGTGCTGATCAGTATCTGCACTTGTCGCCGTCGACGCTGAGTGCAGCCTACAGATTTTGGCACGATCACTATCCTCTGGAGTCAACCCGTCACCGCGCTGCAAATCCTCTCCCCGGATGGCAAATGGCGCTGGATCAGGCACATGGACAACGCTCTGGTACGCCCCGCACTCTCATTCCGGTCCGTATCGTTATGACCTTCGTGTAATCCCAACCTCGAAGGTCGTCAACATCGGCGACTCCTTGGAGATGCTCTCTGGAGGCTTCTACAAGGGCACAATCCACCGCGTTGTGCAGCCCCCGGCCGATCAGCGCGGTTACGAGCGTCTGGGAGTGTTCTACTTCGCGCTCGCGGACGACGATGTGAAGCTCGTGCCATGCCTTGAGAGTCCTCTGCTGCAACGCATTGGGGTAAAACGGCGGGTGGCGGACGAGGCCGCGCCGAATCAGGAGGAGATGCGCAAGGCGCGCACGGCCTCGTATGGGACGTCGAAGCTGAAGAAGAGGGAGGACGGGAACGAGGAGGAGGTCGTTGCTGGAATTGTCGTCAAACACTTCAACTAAACCTGCTGCCTGGGACCGTATTCGCGGTATCGCAGAGACGTCACATCACTGGCTGTAGCAATTGTTTAGGACTCAGATGATAGACGCTCCCGACTGATTCTCCGAGGGGATGTACGGTGTCTCATCCGGCGCGGCGGAGTCATGATGGGCTCCGACGGAAGTCGGGTTCCGACTCGGATGAAGGGGTAAGGATACAGTATCTCGCACGTTCTCTCCGGCACTCGAGGTCTGTGAGCGCTCGGTCGCTCAGTTGAGTAGCTCTGCCGTCCGACTCGTCATGTCACCGCCGCCATCGCGGAGAAGTCCAGCTCCCTGTGCTTCTATGTGAAGAGAATGAATTCTCGCCTCCCACAGTGAAGCGCACCCGGCGAAGATGTGAACAGGTGAGACGTGCTCCCGACTTAGATTGTGCAAGGAACAAGATATCCAAACACGGGCTTTTGCCCGCAGTCTGCCGGCGATATCAGCACAGATTTAGATATCAGTTCGCGCCATGTGAAGGTTTTGATGACACAGCCTGTTATCGGACCTTGGGACTACCTGGAGTCAATCATAAGGTCGGAGTACAATACAGAATCGCCCTAGGAGATTATGCCGCTGAAAGTCACGCGACTGGTTCGGTGCCAGGGCGAGTCATGCAACGTATGGCGCTTCTATCTCAATCTTGCACTGAAAATACCCCGCCGAAGGTTATTGTATGAAAACTCTAGGGAAAAGGAGAAACATATGTACCTCAATTGCTGTCTCTGAGTCGGCAATTCTATTCCCTCCGTCTGCACCTCGGATACGTTCTGACGGGGTCTGGAAGGAGAGAGGGATCGATCCGGAAGAAACGCCTTGTCGTACGTAGTCTCGAGAGTTGAGCCTGCATCCCAATTGTGAGTTTCATACGTGCATATAGTGCACAGACGCGTAGCACGCACGATGTCAGCAGTGCATTTGCGTCCACTATGATGCACAGGTAAGCGTCTAAGAGATTGGCTTCGAGCGAGAAAGTAACGCATACTCTTTGCGACGAGAAAAGTGAAGAAAAGGACATAGAAGGAAGTCGGTGCCGCGATGTACTAAGCAACCCTCATTCAGCTCAGTCTCTCACATCGCTAACAAATGTGATGTCAAAATACTCACAGCAATCAGGTTTGCGACTGCGAACAGCCTGAAAGAGACCTCAGAACGATGCGACCAAACGATGATGATCATGTGTTAGAGAACTCACGTCGTTAGGCCTCCAGTGGCAACAGTCAGAAAGATCAGCCTTGTGATCATATCATCGGACCTTCGTTCAGTTGAAGGGGGTTTCAGCGTGGTTCACGTAAACACAGTGCTTGAGGTACCTGCTTAGCCCGGTTCGGCTGCTGTATAAGTAATATATGAGTGAGGAGGAGACGACAATGTCTGCGGACGCCTCTAAGGACATGCTCGTAATACCATAGGGCTTGATAGAGACACATGAGTTATCAGATGGGATCTGAGAAGTCGTGACATACTTCGAGCTCTACTTCAGCCACCAAGAGGCTAGCAAAAGAGAACCTGAGAATGGAGAGGTCCGAGTCAACCGTGGCACAAGGTGGGCCTCTGTACCGACTCTGGACGTACGTGCGAGCAGGGTAGTCTGAGATATAGGGATGATCAATCTTCAGCACGACCATTGAGGTTGGCTGGTGAGATACTTACAGATGTTCGTAGCTGTGTCATCAAATAGTACATGAGAACCGGTTTGGCCAATCAGGCATAGAATAAGTTACCAAGACGTGCCAGGTTAAATATGACCTGTTACGAATATCCATGAGCCACATATGATTATGATGCCGTTATGACAAGTACAAGGGTGACTTACACAGGTCCCAGTGGCATATACGCTTCCGCTGACTGTGAAAAAGCAATGTTCGGTCTGATGATTGCGTGATGGAATTCAGCAGGTATAGACGTACGCCGCCAGACCCTAAACGTAAAGAACCTACGGAGAGAATATCAGCTAGCGTCAACTAGGACTAGATAATCAACGCCAACGAACGTCTTCACCAAGAAGGAGATACAGGCCTACGACAATGTTACGACTCGCTGCAGAAGTTCTGAGATACTATGACTCACGTTTGTCAAAATGACAGCCTCGAGACAAGGAAAGATCAGTGATTGACTGCACTGCTACGTCGTGTAACTCTCACAGGTATGCTCCTAGTTTAACAGCTCCGTTGCTTAGTGATGATCCGGAGACGTGAGAGGCCGACGTACCAGTTATTGATCAGCAATCCAGATGGGTTTGCATAATTGTCAATCACATAGAAGTAGCATGCGTAGATGGAAAATGATGACTGAAGCGAGTCCAATATCCTGCCACAGGGAACAGCGTCAGGGTGTGCTTCCTGCTGGACCAATCTCCTGATAGTATACCATAGAGCTAGAACCTGGTGCGAAGAGAACATGTAAGTTTACTTGACCTTCCGTAGACAGTTTTGGAAAAATAGATACCATATAGAACAATGGACGATTGTCAGTCTTGGCCCGCGGCGACCGATAGTATTGAAAGGTCTGCATGCATGTAACACCATAGACACTAAAGCACAGTAGTCAGTATCGGCTGAAGGCAGTCTCTGAATACACGAACATTGAGCTAGCAATGACTCCTAAGAACCCTACGCCAATTGTACTACCCTTATTAAGATGGGCAAGTAGCGCAGCGCCCGTGTCGGTCATGTTAGTCGGGTAAAGTGACAGTGAGTAGCCTAGCGTGTGGAGCCGCCTTGAAAGGTGCAGAGCAGAGGCTATGTGAAGGGGTGCAAGGAGTTATAAGTACCCTTCGTAGAAGCTGATCACAGCAGGCACGCAAAATACGTGCACCGTGCAGGACAGATGATCCGACTCGGTGGTTGGTGCCGAACGGACATTTACCGGTGTCATATCTAATAGGCGCTCTCAGTATGCCAGTAGCAGATGTATAGTTACGATTCAGTAAGCGGGCGGCTACCGACTTTCATGACTCTCCCTCATCTTAGCACCCTCTGACACTATATCTCTGTTCCTCTCGTGGTATAACCACTCTCAGATTACGCTCGGAAAGCCCCAAGGTATCAACCAACCGACTCTGAGCCACACAGACATATGTATGTGACGGATGAGAGGATGATCATCACGGAAGAATACACCACGAGGATGGGCTGCGGGAACGAGGCAATGCAACATGGAAGCTGATTGAGCTGATGCGTATGAGAGAAAAGACGTGCATCTTTCCGAGCTCCGGGCCAGAACTCAAGTTGAAGCACCATCCCCGTATCTTGACTGATGTTAGCCTGAAGAGAACAGCGTCGAGTGGGGCATCTGTCTACCACACCTACGGCGGCGAAGTCCATAACAGACAGTTTTGAGATCCGGCTCCTATTAATCAGCGCACGGGGTGTGCGTCGTTGATTTTCTCAGCATCCGTTTGAGGCCGGCATAGACACAAATAGTACTGAACCCCACGGATAAGACTTGTGGGCAGCAAATCAAGAGTGCATACTTCTATTACATCCGTGGCTCTCCGGGCCTCTTCGCGATATCAAGAACATCAAGAGTAGATCATCTGGATTTACCACTGTGCATGCGTTGCCATAAATTGTTAAGTATCGTATCGTCGCATTCATTGGGTCACTAAGCTCAGCTTCCGTGTTGTCATGCTGGAAAATTCTGTTCTGCAATGGACTTATTGCAAGCTGAATGATTTTAAGACGTTATGCCAACACCATCAGATATCACTGCAGTGCATGATTCGGTCCACCGACACACCTGCAGTAAGCCAATAAAGTGGCGCCATTCATTTGGGATACGACGCATCGATGTCGACCTTATACTGCGAGAAGCATGACAACAGTCAGAAGTTAAGATATGAGGCAGAGAATCCTCATGCTTACCTCGCTGGAATTTACAGCAGCCTCGTTGTCCGCGCCCTGGTAGATGCGTTCGACGGCCGGTGCCCGAAAGTTAGAGAGGGGAATTGTCCTTGAATCCACAGTTGTTGATAGGGTCTTTCCATAGGACGATCCTTGTCGCGCGTATTCTCGGGAGTTGAGTCTAAATAGTCATGTGAGATTTATGCGGCGACCGCGTCAAAACATGAATGTACGAGGTCATTATTGCATTTGCATCCACTGAAAGGTGTCAATGAGGGGTACAATTGTTTGAGATTATGCAAAAAAAGAGTGCGTACTTTTCGCATTGAGGAAGTGAAAGAATAATACATATAGTGACTGTGGGGCGGCCACATACTACCATGCAACAGAATGAGTGCCAATCTGAGCTCAGTAGGAGTAATGAAGACATACTGCAATCAGATTTCCGATTGCTACCAATCTGCAAATGTGATCAGGGAGGAAGCTTTGCAGGAAAACCTATGAGAGGTCATGACATACGTTGCGAGGCATCCAGTGGCTACAGTGAGTAAAATCAACCTGCCGATCATATCGTCTGATCTAGATGTTTAGACGCATGGCAGTAGAGTCATGTCGAAATACACGAGCATGAACTACCGAATTTACCTTGGCATGCCGGAGCGGCCTTTGTACAGGTAGAAAATCAGTATAGATGATATGAGGGTGGCCGCAAATGCGTCTAATGCCAGTCCGGCGACAGCGTAGCGCTTCGGGTAGACATGTGAGCCGGTACACAGAAGTCGGCTGTATCGACACTCACTTCAAGCTTGCTCTCGGCGTCGAAGAGGTTATGAAATGAGAACCTGTGCAAAATTGTGTTACATGCCTTGTTGGTGAAGGGCTTTTCTGTTACAATGCCACGCACATGCGAGCAGGGTAGTCTGCCATTGTAGGGATCAATAAGGAGTTAGTGCAGGAGGGGCATATTAGTCAGCACTCACAGATGGTCATCACTGTGTCAACCATGACAAGATTAGTTCCAGACTAGGGGAGAGCCGCAGACACCGCATACCGAAGCAGGCCCAGGTGACAAAAATCTACCAATCTACGGTGAGCGTGTGAGAAAGCTGCTCGCAGACCGTTCACTCACACAGAGCCCTGCGATCGGTACGTTCTGACTGACTATGGGCAATCATGAAACTAAGTAACAAGAGTAAAGCCGAGGTGGAAGCTAGCAGCGTACGTCTCCAGACCCGGAAAGTGAAGAACCTGTGGTGCGGACGTTAGACAATTGCGAAGAAGCTTAGAATGAGGAACAGTGTACATCTTGACGAGAACCGAAGTTAATGCCTATATAGTGGAATGGGATTAGTGGAAAAAGGCAGAAGGCACCGCGACTTACGTTCATCACAATCAAAGCCTTCGCAGAGGTTCATATCAATGCAACATTTCATGACTTCAGCAGACACTCACGGGCATGCTCCTGAGCGTTTAGACAGTCAGTAATATCTCGAAAAAATGAGGTCATCAGCTGACCAGGTACTAATCAGTAGGCCCGGAGGATTGGCGTAGTTTTCAATGAGGTAGTAGTAGTTCAAATGAATAGCGAAGGACGATTGAGCGAAGTCTAGTAACCTAGTCCGGAATGTGTTAGGAGATGCATTGCGATGCAAGCATATCCTGATACTGATAGCGCACCATAATACCAAGACCTTCAGATTGGGAGGATGCATCAGTATTCCTGACGATGCACGATGGCTTGCTATAAGCTACACGTACCGTGCAGCGCAACCAAAGTTGGTCTGTCTTCACCCGAGGCGAGCGATAGTAGTGGAATGTCTGCACACAAGTGACACCGTATACCCTTCATGGTGATAAGCCAAGTGAACAAAACAGAGATGGTGGTTCCACTCACATGGAGCTAGCCACAGCGCCGATAAAGCTTATACCGATGGTACTTCCCTTGTCGAGCTGAGCAAGGATCTCTGCGTTGACATCAGTCAGGTTAGACATCCTAAGTGAAGACAAGAGAATGCTGAGCACAAGCACAAGAGGGTGAGGGTGCGCGACCGGATAGTAAACATCAGTGCTAGGCTATAACCTGCTGTCGGACAAAGCAGATCACTTCGAATAGAAGACAGGCCCACAGCTTGCAGTGCAGAACAAGGCTTCGTAAGCAGGGAGTGCACATCGACCCATATCATGTGCCAGTGGAGTGTGATTGATGTGTGATTCTAGGCTTGTAATAGCCTGTCCTCCGTTGCTTCACGAGCATCGCTGCGAAGGCCTTTCCCCACCATGAGAGCAGCAAGATATGGCGATCCCCGTCAGAGTTTAGCGTATCTTACCATCACTCCTAGAAGCACACGTATGACATGCCAACAGGCAGGTGAGGATGTCAGTCAAGGTAGGGCTCTGCCATGAGACCGAGTCATTGAGCGCCAGACAATGAAGCGAGTTTTTGTTATTGGGAACCACCATTCATCTATATTTATGTACGGTCGCAGTAGTGAGCGTGCGCATCGTGCCGATTGAATCAGATGGTCATACGTGATTGTGATTGGCTGGAAGAAATGGACTCCGCTGCCACGGTCACTGGCGGCCTCAAGTGCACTTGCGGCGACATCGACCTCTTCTTCACCTGTCATCACAAGGATTTGTGGCGTGGAATATTCTGGCTTGCTGCATTTAAAGGACTAGATTCCGCCGTGTCCGACAAAGGAATGTACTTCCTAGAGCAGAAGAGACGTGTCTTCGTCCAACGAAGTAAGTGTTGGAAAAAGGAACAGCGACTCTGTAGCGTACCTATGTGTATTTCATGTGACCAACCATAAAATCCTTACAGCCTAAGCCTACATATTTGCATTCGAAGGGCCTAAGCGAATTCAAGACGTTAGTAGAGACTGAATGGGTAAGTTTCAAGCCGACCCACGACGAGCCCAGCCACTGCTGGGTAGTCATGCAAAGCGTGTAGAGATGCGGCGCTGATGATCTCATTACGAGTTGGCTACAATGAAATAGAGCGTTATATGCTCGTCAGCTTGATGAAGGCGTCCTTCATGGGACCCTCCCGTGCTCCCCCACCCCCTTTAGCGCACTGAAGGGCGGAATGCGCGCCGTAAGCTCACGCAGACTCCGAGGTTCTGAGTCACGCTGCAGTCGTTCAGATAGTACTGAGCGTCGGATAGCCCAGTTGCGCGAGTCGCCTTTGATAGTAGGTATTTTGATATGAAGCGCCGCACGACATGAATCGTACGCAATGAGCAAAACGGGAGCAGTGTAGCAATTGCTCGTTGGCGCTAACCTCCGCCTCACGTGGGTATAGCGGCTCTCCGGGCCGGGACTATTACGAAAGTGCTAAGCCTTCAACTTGGGGCTCGGCTATTCAGTTCCTTCTCCTCCACCATGTCAAACGTGGGTTCGCAATGTCCCCGCTTGATTGCGTCATCCACGTACTGGGAGCGTGCGAGTGTCTTGGTATGAATGTTCGAGTACGGCTCGACAATCCGTCCGTCATTAGCAGGGAAGTACATATGTGAGAGCCGCGCTTTAGACGATCTGCACCCGTCGCGACGATCACCGCCAACAGAACTCAACCTCCAGCTTTGGCTTCCCACTCACTGGCCTCCTTATCATGCCTAGTACTACGCTTCCTGTCGTGCCCCACTATGTCGCTGCCTCTCTGACCAAGGAGAATCGTGCGTATACAAGCTGCATGCTCCGCCAAACTCTACTCATACCGCTTGATCAACAGTGGATTGGGCCGATCTTCCCATAATCGACCTCGCGAGAGCTACTACGCCGGAAGGGCGCGCTGAACTGGCTCCTCTGATTCGTGATGCGATGCGCACGCATGGCTTTCTATACGTCATCAACCATGGGTGGACCGAGGCACAGGTGCGTCACGTTTCGAGGTTGAACGTCTCCAGCGTTGCCCATTGTACGCTGCAACTGATCGTCAGAACGAGCGCATCTTCGACATCGCGAACCTCCCGTTTGAGCATGTTCCTGATGATGAGAAGAAACGCTTCGCGGGCGACATCAAGAAGACAGGCTCTTACAGGGGTTACAAGCTACGAAACTACTGGGTGAGTCAGATCCTGGTCGTGCGTAGCTCGCTTTGAGCTGAACATGTTGCACCATGTCTCCAGCACATAGACAACGGAGTACGGGACCAATTAGAGCATTACAACTGTCAGCATACCCCCTTCTCTGTCAGACTAGGGACATTAACTCCACGTCATTGAACAGTACATCGCTCGATTTACGAGAACCAGGAGCATCCGAAGGCGCTTCAGCCAGTTCTTCCCGAGATCCGCGCTTTCGCCGAGCACAATCACTTCAACGTCCTCTTCCCTGTCCTCCGTCTGCTCGCGCTGGGCATGGAGCTTCCGGAAGACACATTCATCAACATTCACGGTTTTGAAGCCAAGGGCGAGACATATGGTCCGTACTTCGTTGATAATCCTGTCATCGGGTTCAATCGTCTGACACGCTGCCTCGACTTCCCTGTCTCGGCTCCAGTCCGGTTCATGAAGTAGTGAGTTCCGCACGCTTCTCTCGCGCCACACCTGCGGCGCTGATATCCAATACTCATCTCTCGCATTTTGCAGCTATCCCCGCTCCGAAGAGGAAGAGACGAAGACGTCCAACGTCTGGCTCAAAGGCCACACCGACTTCGGCACCATCACCATTCTCTGGTCGCAGCCCGTCACCGCTCTCCAGATACTCTCCCCCGACGGGGTGTGGCGCTTCGTCAAGCACATCCCCAACGCGCTCGTCATTAACGCTGGGGACGGGATGGAGTTCCTCTCCGGGGGCTACTACAAGGCGACGATCCACCGCGTCGTACAACCGCCCGTGGACCAGCGCGGCACCACGCGCGTGGGGGCGTTCTACTTCGCCATGACAAACGACGACGTCGTGCTGAAGCCGCTTTCTGAGAGCCCGGTGCTGCAAAGGGTGGGCATCGTGCGGCGGTTCGAGGATGAGAACGCGCCGACGACGGAGCAATGGAGGCGTGCACGGACGAGCGCTTATGGGCAGACGGAGCTGAAGCGCAAGGACAACGTCGAGGAGGAAGTGATTAACGGTGTTGTCGTAAAGCACTACAACTAGCGACAATAAGAAGTCAATGCCAGTAGCTGTGACTGTCGGAGCCATTGCGCACAACTCCCCCACACAGATGGGCGAGGATGGATCACCCCCCGGTACGCACTGAATAAACGATCTGTGTATGTCAGTTACAGCCGAACACGAATCTTTTAGGTCAGGAATGAATGCAGGCCCTCAATTATCTGAAACGACACCTCGCTCAATGATTAGCCGGTCGAGATTGCAGAAAAGAGAAAGTACCTCACGGATAAAGTATTTCCGCTTATATGTAAGAGGCGCTGACCTCAGCCCGGGTCATGTGCAAAGATAACCGCAGCTACGCCGCTCATCAAGTTCAAGGGCTAGTAGACGTAGGGAATTAACTTGTACGGTGTCGTCTTCGCCCACTCGTCCCACTGTCTCCCAAACTCCTGCCTAAGTACGCCATCCTCCCTAGGTACCCTCCTAGTAATCACTTCTACCACAATCGCAATGATCCATAGCTCCCAAAGCCCTACTAATATAGCCACCGATCGTGTCTCCAGCAGGCCGCTCTCGTAGAGGTACGATCCGGGAAAGACTTGCACCAAAGCGAGACCGAGTCTTCCCATGACAAGGGAGGTGTATGAGGGGTGGCGCACGATGGCGTATGGTCCGGAGGTCACGAGCTTGTGCTCCTTGAAGAGCGCGAGCTGGAAGGTGAAGAATGTCCCGAGAGTGTCATAACACCATTGCCGGATCACTCCACTTGAGACGAGGAGTATGCAGCCCGCAAGATAGATGGGAGACATCTCCAGGCGTTCTGCGGCTGATGGGTCCTTGAAAAGAGTGGCGAGGACTTTATCAGAGAGGGGCGATGGATACTCGCGGGCCAAGATGGCGGCAAGCTCGCATAGGTGACATATGTAGTCTCCGCCCTAGCATGTACCGCTCACAGTGAATAAAGATGATCAATGAATAGAATCCATTCAAATGTGGCGCACCAATGAGATCCGCGGAAACCACGTCGCAGTACGAGTGACTTTGTCTGCACGACCAAACTTCTCCATCTCTTCGCCTTTGGGTGCGGGACGATTGGGAGCAATAAATGCCACTCGCTCGGCTACCATAATAATGGGAACAGCGAGGAGTCGAGCATTATGGAGGTTCATCGCTAAGTCGTTGAAGGAATGGGGAAAGAGATAGAGCACAGAACAGTGTTGAGGACGTGGAAGGATATCGATTGTCAAGAGGCGGACAACCATACCTGCCGAGCGGATTAAGTACAGCTGAGTCTCTGAGACCTATTGGGGCTGAGGTCTTGCCTGAGGAAAGGATCGTCTACTTTAGGATAATGACTCAAAAGGACATATTCATGCTCCGTGGACAATACGCTAGAGCATACATAGCTCCGAATCAGACAAGCGTACGATCACTTCACTGATTCGGTCTGCAAGCCGAATACCAGCTCTAGCTTCGACCAGAATAGTAAGCGGTCGGAGTTTATAGGGAGTGCACCCACAGTCGCACACATTCTATGTCACTCCTTGTGATCTTGTTGCAGGGCCATGGAAATGAGATTGTAGATGGATGCAGAGTCAGCAATGAATTTGTAGGCGGTGGAAGCTCGCGCTCAAGGTGATCATCAGCGCCGAGACTATTATGGGCGCCGATGCGGTTTGTTGTTCTAGCCTTGAGCAATTCTCCAGGACCATGCGTCCGGAATGGATTGAGGGTCACGCAATTTCCTCGGAAGCTATAGGCCACCCGCCCAGATTCAGTGAATTCGAGATATGCCTCTTATGTTACAGATGCTTAGGGGACGACTAAGTACCGAAGGACGAGCAGTGGGGAAGAGGTAGATACCATGTGCCTAAATACGCTCCGCAACGTCGTAGGCTTCACAAGACATACGGCTGGTCTATGTCCACCTTGCACTACAAAGACATGTCGTAGATTAGACCTCGCATGTTTGGGGTGGAATTCCATTGCGGCTCACCTCTATCACGTTGCTCGTGGCCCCTCTGTCTGCGCAGCGTTCCCTCGGTACGCGGAGGGTGGAGAGAGGAATCATCCTTGGATCCGTCATGCTCGCTGATAACACCTTGCCTGAAGAAGTGCCCTGCCGCATGTACTCCCGAGAATTCAGCCTACATAAGAAGGTAAGATTCATTCAACACGATAGTGAGCAGAACAATTAGCGCACGAAGTCAACAGGGCATTGGCGTCCACTGCACATGTACTGATCAGCGGATACAATCGATATAGTCAGAGAGACCCGACATAATTTTGGAAATAAGGAATGTGAAGAAAAGAACATAAAGAGATGATGGAGCGGCAATGTACTGAGATGCACGAAATGAGCCTTGAAAGCGATTGACTGGATATAATTGACCACGCACCGCAACAAGGTTCGCAATTGCCACGTATCTTGTATCAGCAGTAGAGCATGAGTCTGAGAACGGTTGTCATATACATAACGAACCTACGTTGTCAAGCAGCCAGTCGCTACGGTGAGTAAGATCAACCTAGCCACCATATCGTCTGACCTTCGCATTGTGGTGCATGTTCATGTCAGCTACACTCATGACTCGGTAACCTGAGAGAAATATATACCTGGGCATTCCGGTACGACCTTTATAGAGATAGTATATCAGTGCAGCAGAGACTATAAAGTCTGCAGCTGCCTCCAATGATAGACCAGCAGCACCGAGATGCTTCCGAGTGATATGTCATTACTAGGGACATTCAATGAGCCGAGGCGATACTTACTTCGAGCTTGCTCTCGGCTTCGTAAAGATTAGAAAACGATCACCTGAAGATGCATGTTCCGACCATATATTTACCAAACAGATTTGCACAAATGTACGCACATGCGGGAGGGAAAATCTGCAGGCGGTGGAAATCACTGAGCGTGACCCGATCTCAATTCTAGAGCAGGACACTTACAGACGTTCATGACTGCATCAACAGATATGGCGTCAGTAACATGTAGCTCAGCATAGAGTGGAAGAGCCTACTGAAGCGAGCGAGATTGACTACAACCTTTCAAGGATTTGTGTTAGTCAACAAGTGGCAGCCTGATTTCGAGGAAACGCTTACGCAAAACCCGGACACGAAGGCATTGCGGCTAACTGAAGTCAAGAGTGTGAGCTTCTTGAGCTTAGAGAGGGAAGGAAGAGGACGGCAACATACGTCTCCAAACCCTGAAAGTAAAGAACCTATCCAGGGAGGTTAAGCAGTGGCCAGAACACAATCGATGTTCACCTACATCTTGACCAAGAATGAAATGCGTGCCTATTGGAAATTCAGTGAAGCCGCGACCCAAGGACAGCAGCATGCTGACTCACATTCGTCAAAACCCCAGCCTTTGCCATCACCATGTAAGCACTTGAATTCGCGCAGAGAATTCAACCTTACAGGCATGCTCCTGGAAGTTCTCGAAACCTCAGTAGTGGCACAAAGAGTCCAGATTGACAGCCCACCATATATTGATTAACAAGCCCAATGGGTTAGCATAGTTGTCGATGAGGTAGAATTAAAAACATGAATCGCAAAGGCCGACTGAATTGAGTCCAAGATCCTGCAATGAGAACTGTCACAAATTGGCAACGAGCTGATGACTAAGTTGGAGAACCTACCACAAGACGAGGACCTGTGATTATCAAGGTCGTATCAGTATACGTCCCACTCATTCACAGAGATTCTACACGTACGATACCATGTAACCAAAAGCCATCCGTTTTAGCTCTCTCTGAACGATAGTACTGGAACGTCTGAATGCAGGTAACACCATATACCCTAGTGCTCTTCAGTCAGCCGACTAAAGGGGAGAAATAGTCTTCGTATCTACTTACATGGAGCTGGCGACTACCCCGAGGTAACCTACACCTATTGTGCCACCCTTGTTGATTTGAGCGAGGAGCACTGCGTTTGAATCGGCCATGTTGAATGGGGGAAAAGTGGGTATGAGCGGAGTACAGTAAGGCTCCAAGTCACCTAAGTAGGGAAGCCAAGTTGGCACCATAGACCGGAGTAGAGTATGTGGATGGTGTGAACTCGGCCTCACCCCAGAACGGCCAAGGCACTTGATGCGCCATCAGCGCTCTGAGATAGGGTGTGGTTGTGAGTGCTTGACCTCCATTCCGACTGTGATCCAGGACGCGCTGCCACATAATCATCGCTTAAGTTCACCCCTTACCTCCGACAGACAAGAGCTCTGCACACAGCACCCTGCGCATGCGAGCAGTCAGATAACCCAACTCTTCCTGTTTCTGTCGAAGAGCGCTGACGCGACGACAGCTGGGGATGTTCTCCACGGAGGTAGCTCCTACGTGATAACCCACTAAGAGGCCCCAAACGCCTGCCTACTGTCTCGTTGCTAGAGAAGGCTTTCCATCGGACCCTCACCTACCAAGTCTGCTCTGCTCACTAACGCTCTGGAGGATCTCCGAGTCAGGCCCGCTCTCTGACAGCCGCGTATACTGTTTCCAAGCAGTTATTTTTCGTCAGGCCGCACGGCCCGTCCGGTGTGTGAAGGTCCTGTAGCGCGTACTGGCTTGTCTATGGCTGAACGGCCTTTCACACTAACTTCCACGCTGCGAGTGCCTTCCGTTCTGTACTGCCTTCGCATGTGAACGCAGCGCCCTGCACCTACCCGTCCGAGAAGCCCGCCTCACGTATCCGCGCGCGCCCTGCGCCCATATGGTATACTAATTGTGGATCCCTCAGCGCGCACTCTTGACTAAGAGCTGGGCAGGGGCGGCGTGGTATGGGAAAGCGGATGAGCTCGCAGGAAACGGGTTCAGAACACGGTCTAGTGTGCGATGAGCACGAGAACGTGGAGGCTACCATATGAATGCTTTTTGAACTGCACTGTGAGCGGCCATTTGATGAGGATACCAGAATTGTGTTATGGAATGCTGATCGTATGGCTAGCTCACAAGCGGAAACGAGCTGTCAGGTCTCTGAGGTTGACAAGGTCAGGGTTAAAGATCACTAATGTCGCACAGGCCGGCCATAAACCTTGAATCTGCGAGGCTGCGACCTCTTGCAAGGCTCTTGAAGGATAGTGAGGTGGTTGACCAATGACGTGTTAACATGGAAGGCCGCTTGGTCGAGTTGCCATCCCTGCACCGCGGGAATGGTCCGGGCATTTGATGATTTCGTACCTCGGGAACAGCGATGCTCGTACTGGTCTAGCTATAGTTGCTTCTCAGCCTAGAGGAAGTACCATCGGTCGGTGAAGAGGTTCGCACCCTTCGGCTTGACGTCCACACATCATGACACGCCAAGCCGATCACACCATGGTAACGTAAAGGCGATACAGAGACAGCCTGAGCTGAAGGCACAGCATCGCCTTCATCGATGCACTCGCACAAGTCTAGACGAGATCAAGAACGAATCGTACGCACGCCGAGACTACGAACAAGCCGAGGGGCAGGCTGGGGCAGGAGGTGTGCAGTGGTGTTGATGATCTGGTGAGAAGATATCCTAGCGTAATATCATCGCAATCGTAGTGCCCGCGATGTGGGACGGAGGACGCGGCCCGGGACCGGGGCAGCTGCGAGACGTCGCTTTCGGTCATGTGATCTGTTGTGTCGGCCAGCTAGATCTGCTTCCTCCTCCCTTAGGCTGTTCTATCATTTCCTTGAGCACGACGCGGCCCTTCTCCTTGCTGTACAATCGCCCACCACGGCTCCAAGAACGCGATGTGTTGCTGTTCCCTCTTGTCTATTCTGTCCTCAACTTCCGACGGCATACCTTGCTAACCTCCGTTGTATCGCCCCATATCCGACTCCTGGCTCCAATCCTCCTCGACGCTACTCCCGATGTTCACTGACTGAGCCGCTGTCTACGTTGTCATATGGAGTGCATGATACTTGGCCTTTCAGAGCCGGGATCTCCTGTCCCCGTCGGTGAGTTCTACACCCTCCGGTTCGCGTTGCGTAGCCGATCCCCTTTGTGTCGCTGGAGACCTCTTGTTGCTCCGTTCTCTTGCGCGGTCACCGCGACACTTCAAGTCCCCTCAACGAATTACAATGTTGCTCGTTCTCTTTTGCTGCAAGGAGACGTTCTCCATCGTTCAGCCGCCTTGCCCCTTGACGCCTGGCGTTCCAACATACTCATTCCTTTTGCTCCTCTAGGAATCTTCATAGGTATCGCATGCGTCGCTTTCTGAGCCGCCACCCTTTTCCGGGTCCGCGGCAACCCAGCTGCTAGCTTCGCTCTTCCCTGGTTGCAAGACTGTACTGTGAGTCACGTACAGAGTTATATTTCGTAGACCTTGCACCGATGCGACGTATGGTATAATTTTCTGTGCCTCGAGATCTGCACGGTGTCTGTCGATACTCACCCGTTCTCTTACCAATGGTCCGGTCTCTAATGAGGCAGAGATTTCCGGGCCCGGTCATTGAGATGTACGTCCTATGACGACGCGGTCGTGAACGTCAGGTTGTGGCGGCCCAACAGACCTGGTACTAGCGCTCGCTCCCGATCGCCTTTGCGCTGACGCTGACGCTCGCGTTCGCGTTCGCGTTTGTGGTCAGTTGGTACATGCTTCGGAGGGCGTTGTGTCAGACATTAAGAAGGCAGGCATAGGACGCGAGCTTGCACCTGGTCGAGTCTCTAGAATGGGGGAGACACGTACAGCGCTGTCGGCGTAAAGTGGTGCCACTGTCTCCCTAGCGCGTAGAGAGCGCAAGAAAGGACAGTTTCGATTCCTTAGTGATTATCTGGTCCTTGACGTTCTTCAGTGTTGCGCCATCCAAAGCGTATTGCCCTCTGCGTCCGAGGCTAAGGTCGGTCCCGCGAGTTGGTCGGTGCTGATTGTCCCCTCCAACGCGCGGATCGAATGAATGGCCAGGAGCTCGACATGTGTTCTGAGATGCAGAGGGGAATAGGGTGGACGTCGAGACTCGTTTGAGACACGGACAGGGAAGGGTTCGAGTGCAACAAGCCGAGTCGGGCGCCGAACGATTATAGCGCTTTTCGATTTTACACAGCACAGGGAAGAAGCTCTGTAACCGGGGCATTTGGAAGGATGATTGGTCAAAGACCTCCTCCTCATCAGAAAGGAATGCTATCACTATATAGAGACAACAAGGAGACAGTCGTTACGCTGATCTACCTTCTCAGGCAGATGTTCGCCGGCCTCTGGATTTGCTCCTCTTCTCTTAAGTGGCGGACGGCCGACGTCGAGAGTGCCACCGTGCAGAAAAGTGGAAAGGAAAGAATATTGACGGACTGGGTGCAAGGTGAGACGGGAGCTTGATGAAATTATCTTCTGCGCGAGCTAGGCTGGTGCGGCACGATCTGCGTCTTCGTCACCGTCTACTGCTACCCTAAGGGAACGGCAGGAGCGAGGAACGTCTCTGGCTTCACCGCGGGCTTCGCTGCAGGACTGTTTCCAATCGGAGGGAGGCCACTGCTAGGGGACCTGATCTGCTGGCAGGGTTGTATCGCGGCGGTGGGCAAGGATGGAGTTCCCCTCTGGGACCTACTATGAGGCGACGATCCACCATGTCGTACAGCCGCCCGTGGACTAGCGTGTCACCACGCGCCTGGTGGTGTTCTACCACGCCATGACAGACGACGATATCGTGCTGAAGCCGCGCGCCGAGAGTCCGATTCTTCGGAGGGTGGGCGTTGTGCGGCGGTTGGAGAATGAGAACACCCCGGCGACGGAGCAGTGGAGGCGTGCCCAGACGAGCGTTTACGGGAAGACGGAGCTGAAGCGCAAGGTCAACATTAAGGAGGAAGTGATCATGTTGTCGTAAAGCACTACAACTAGCGACAATGAGCAGTCGACGCCAATAGAGATTGCTGTCGGATCCGTTGGGCACAACTCCTCCCCGCAGTTTAGCGAGGATGGATCTCCCGCCCTCCCAAGTCCAACGATCATACATACGAGGGAGGGGTTCTTTCCAACGCTTTGGCGGCGTTACGTTTGTGGGGCGTCTTGGGGGCTATTACATATCGCTTGGACAACGGGCGGTCGTTCAGCGCTGCCCCCCTATGTGCGCGTAGTCCCTTGACAAGGGACGACAGTAGCCGATGGGTCTAAGAGTGCACGTTTTTTCATGATACATGTTTCTATCGATGGGCGTGTGCGAGCGCATCACAGATCGTCTCTTCGAAGGGTCATCGTACGCAACAACCTCGACCTAATATTATGTCTTCCGTCTCACGCATCCGAATGTAGGGCCCGGATGATCCTGATCCCCGACCATTGGTGCTCCGACCCTCCTTCACGTGGCCAACTTAAGTACTAGGTCTCGCCCGCAGGAATATCCCGCTGAGGTTCTCATCCATCATCTCGCGCTGTGTATGCCCACAACCAAGATGGGCTTTCTCCACCTCGCCAAGGTACCCGCCTTTGCAATGATCATGGTGGCAGAGAACATCTCGTTCCGCCCACCCAACAATCCCTTCCCACAAACCGAAGATCAAAAGAAGTTTGGCGGAGCCGATTTGATCACCCGTCTCGCAGGGTGGTTTCCCGCTGTCGGTCTGGTGCGTCTCCATGGAAAGAGCGTTCTACTGGGACTTACCGTCATTCTCATGTAGGCGATTGACTGCACCTTCCACTTCTGTGAAGTTGCCGCGATCCTCGCACGAGAATTCCCCTCGCCGCTCTCCGACCGCATCCTCGCCACCCTCTTCAGAGACTCATCAAGGGTCGACAAACTTGCAATATCGCCGCCGTTCGTTGTCGCGTTCCTGCTGTTGGTCTTAGGGGCGGCATGGCGCAAGAAGTGTTACGACACCCTCGGGAAGTTGTTCACCTTTCAGCTTGCCATCCTCAAGGAACACAAGCTCGTCACGACCGGCCCGTACTCAGTCGTTCGCCATCCTGCATACACCGCGTTCATCATGACTGACATCGGCTGTCTCATGGCTTTGCTGCTTCCTGGTTCGTACATTCGCGAGAGCGGGGTGCTGGAAAACCCGTGGATCGCGATTGGCATAGCCTGGTCATCATTGCTCCACCTTGCCATCGCCCTTACTGCGGTGAAGCGGATCGCGGTAGAGGACGCGGTGTTGAGGAAGGAGTTCGGCTCTCAGTGGGAGGAATGGGCACGGAAGACGCCGTACAGACTGATTCCATATGTATACTGAGCTGCACAATCGTATCACGAACCGACTCCATGCATTTGCTATTGACGTTAAAGGCACATCAAAACATCTGTGAGATATGAGTAGTCCGCTCATAGCAAAACAGGAGACAAGCGTACCGATACCGCGATGACGTACCAACAATACTTTGGACCGGCGATCCTTGAAGCCCACACATATGCACGTGTCTGTGTCGTGGCCGTAGATGTGCTATATGCACTCTATATATACCCTACACTGCAGACGAAACTGCGTACATGATACAATAATACATCCAAGCAACCAGTCCATGTCTGCACTCAGCATCCACCTTACAACCAAGACCTGCTCATGCAGGTCCCGACAACGACCCCACCTTCTTCCCGATCCTCACGCTCCCCTGAAACGGCAACCCCGCCAGCTCCATCTCCGGATCTTGTCCGTTCGCAAACGGCAAGCCCTCCACGCGCACCGCGACAGCCGCGACGCCCTGCACTCCCGCCAGTGCGCCCTGCGAGCCAAAGATGACCTTCGCCATGAAGTCGCTAAACTCACGCTCGCGCCCGGGGAGCACCTCCAGCGGCACGTCCACGAGCTGCGCCGAGACCGCGACGGTCGAGCCCGAGTCTGGGGGGGCCTCGACTTCGCGGCATTCGGCGGGAATCCAGTCGTCCGGGACGATGTGCGCGAACGCGCGTGGGGGCAAGGGCTCGGGGAGCGGGCGCGTCGGAGGCGGGCTGGGGTGGCCTAGGGCCGAGGTGAGAGGTGCGGTCTCGTCCGGACCTGGCTCGTCAGATGTGGGCACTTCGCCGTCGAAGACGAGTACGTCGGGGAAGAGGCGGCTCGCGTTGACGCCTACGTCGATCCCCTTGGGGAGCACGACGAGGGCGTGCACAACCCCGGAGGCGAACATAGTCGCGCCAACCGGCTTGATGCGCATGTCTGAGATGGATACGTTGCGGAGGATCTGCGGGCGCGGGTGCGGTGCAGGGAAGGTCGTGTTGATAGTCAAACCAGGGTAGAGAGGGGTAGAGATCTCTATGTCGGCGTCGCGTCCGGAGATGTACTTGCTCACGAACGCAGACAGCGCACTTGAAGAGTCGCGGGGGAGCGGCACAACGGCGCCACTGATTGTGAGTGAGATATTGGGGTGTGTGAACTGGAATGGGTGGGAGTGAACAGAGGCCACTGCGACCGATGATAAGTTCGACTCCGGTTGAGGGAGATGAATCAAGAAGGGGAGTGCAGGTGCCTCAAACTCGACGTCTAAGGGGACGGGGTTAAGAGCGGTGGCATTCGCAGAGAGCTCGATGGTTCCATGCCTGGAAGCGATATTGAAGGATTGCAGATGCACTAGGTCAGAGAAACCAGGGAGCTGGTGGCCGTCACCCGCGGGTGGCAGACCGGGCAGCGAGGGGACTGTACCACATGTTAGAAACCGTGCTATATAGGCAGCAGAGAGCAAACGTACTCTTCACGTTGACAACCGGACGGACGTTACTGTGTGCGACAGTGAAGCGGGTTCTCCATCCATGGTCCTCAAGTCCGCCCCCTCGTACCACCGCCTGCCCGACCGTAGCCTGGATGCTCAAAAAGCCTGATTTCCAACTCTCCCGCACGAAGTGTAAGAGGTCGTCAATATCCTTTGTCGGCTGTATCCGCACGGGGATCTGCACAGGGGTCAGCCAGGTGAGGTCCCTCGCCGGCGGGTTCGCCGTGAGCTGCACCTCAATAGACGGCGTCGACACAGTCGCAAGAGTCATATTTGGATGCGCTCTTGGCCCGACACGCATGTCGGACATAGTCACTGTGACACGGTCGATCTGCCGAATACCCCACCGTCCAATGCCCTTGAACCAATCCTGCACGACGCTGTCGTCCTTGTCCGTCTTCACTCCCACCACACTTCCCGCGTCCAGCCCCATCCGGCCATGAACCAGTAACCAGATGCCGTCTTCGCTCGTCGCATTCAGCACGTCCACCCTATCCGGTCCACGGACGATGAGTGCCTTCTTGATGATCTCCTCCGGCCTGGTCGCAGACGCTCTGGAGCGCCACGAATACGCAACGATTGCAAGAAGCACAAAGACTAGCACGGTGAAGGAGAGTGAGATCAAGAATACGGAGACCAGGCGGGAGTAGATCCGCCTGCGGGTCGCATTGGGATGTTGGATAGGAATGTCCCGAGAGGAGCTCAGGGAGCCCGACGCCGAGCCAAGGAGAGGCGTATTCTCGGAAGCTTCTTCGTCTTGCACGTGCGCACGACCTTTCCCCTTGTCAATACGGCGAGAGTTTGAGTCGTCCATGGGGACGAGAAGAGTGCCGTCAGCGTGGTCGAAGTCCGTAGCAGAGTTGTGCGGTATGGGCGTCTAAAGGCGCCGTGGCGGAAGCCACGCTGCAGACGGCTATCATCTCCTGCCAAGTACTGCTACTACACCTCACATCCGAAATAGTGTACGTTCACAGATGTCTGATATGATGGTACATGCGAAATGGTCATTGCGGTGCGGTCGAGCGAAGACAGGCAGGTTGCAAGTATGTTTTGTCCACCAGTAACGAATGTCTGTTCCGGGCCATGACGTAACTGCCAGCTGCGGCGGGCTGTTCCGGTCGATTTCCTCAAAAGTCTCTAAGGCCCCTGCACAAGAGAGCGGGCTCAAAGGGTTCTGTATCAAGGCCGCGCAGTGAGCACATCTCCGCGAAGAGCGTAGAAGATACATTCAAGTATCCGTAGACTGTTGTCCTGCACGCGATCCAACAAAGTATGTTGTGGAGATATTTGGCTTGCAGCGGCGGTGGCACAGTCGATTGGGACGTTCTCGTGTGGCAGCCCGTGGGCAGCCATGCTCCCACTACTGAACTTTCGAAAGCATACTGCGGAACGGACAAACCCTATTTTATGTCCGGAGGTTCGGACGCCTGCTTCTGAGGATGTGACTAGGTCGCTGGTAGACCGACATTAAGGCGCAGATTTGCATTTCGGCAGCGAAAGGTTATTCGGCGTCTTACAGACAGGATGGTGCGACCCCCACAGTCGAGGACACCTAAGGCACAGAATGAAGCTGCTCCTTGTGAATGATCTGCCTGAAGATCTCGAACGCAGCTGCCGGCTGGAACGCGGGCTAGAGATAGGCTTCGCGTTAGCTTTCTCCACATGAAGCGCTGTCGGAATCTAACTTACAACTTCGTGACCTGCTTGGAAGACACGCCTACACGCACGTCAAAGCGAGACTCAGCTGCTGCCTCACCGACTGCAAAAACGAGAACGACGTACGCGAAGGAGAAGTTGTCCACATTCTGGATGGCAGCGACGGCCTTGCCGCCGATCGTCATGTTCGTGAACGGCGTCTTGTGCAGCGTCTGGTTACCGTACCAGTCCATCGCAAGGACGGACGCATGCCCACCAAGCCAGTTGCAGCTGAGCAATCAAGATTGGTCAACACCAAAGGCAGCTCGCCGCGCTTGACGGTATCAACTCACTTGATGTCCGCATCACCAGCCTGTCGCGCCACCCGTCAGTCTCCACTTCGACGATCCACTGCCACCAATCAAGGCACACTCACCCAGATGAGAATCTTCATCCTCGCGTTCGCCAGAGCCGAGAGCTGCGGGAGTAGCGTCCTCGCGTCGTCCCCGGTCTTGCTGAACTGGTCGTCCACGGGGCCCGAGCACTCCGAGTACTTCGCCTGCGCGCCGATCTTTTGCAAGATCGTCTTGTTCGCGAGGAAGTCGAGGTAGAACTCGGGTGGGAAGGGGTTCGGCGAGGACGCGTTCTGCCGGAGGTCGTCCGAGTCGCGGTCGCCGACTGCAGGGACGAACACGTTCTCGATCTATACGAAGGAGAACATCGCAGTACATATGAGCTCCGATTCAGGGCTGTGGAAGAGGGGGGTTGGACGCACGCAGAAGTCGTCAGCCTTGCGGCAGATTTTGTTGCTGTCTGCAGACTCCCCAGCGGCGTAGCACGCAAGCTCTTGGTCCTTGCACCCGCCTTCGCCATAGAACGACTCGTTCAGGGCAGCGAGGACGGTGTCGTTCTGCAGCTGTCCGTAGCCGGGAGCGAATGTTGCGAAGTCGACATATGCCTTATTTTGCAGCAATGGGTCGTACCAGCCACTTGAGAGACCAACCGCATTAGTAACGATACACGAACGAGGGATCGAACGAACTTGTTGATCATCAACGCGCTGACGTCGACCAGCTCGCCTTTGATCGTCCCGTTCTTGATCAGCGCGTTCTGCTGATTGAAGAACGTCACGAACTCTGGGCCGTAGTGGCCCCCGTAGCTCTCCGTGGCGAAGATGAACTCGCGAGACTGATACTTCGCGAACTCCTTGCTCTCAAAAAGGATCTGGAATGCCGTCCAGACCGCAGGTGAGGCCGCAAACGTGCTGTTCACATCGATGGTGCCGAATGAGAAGCCTGTGCCGATGGGTTGGTCGATGTAGATGACTGCAACAAGACCCAGATGTCAGACATGCTCTATCGAGAAAGGACTGCGGACACGAGCGCAACATGATTGAAGTTCATGAATCCCATTAGAGACGTGGTCCGAAATGTCCGCGCCACGCCCAAATTGAATAGAGGGTGATCGTGAGCGGGATCCCCATTGAAATTCAATGTCTCTGTCTCAGGCGATTCTCATGGACGTTGTCTCGCCTTCTATGGCACTAATGCACCCACGGTCGTGCCTCCACAATTTGACGGTGGCAGACTATGAGCCGTTCGCGCAACACAGGATAAGCAGAACGTACTGTTACTGAGATTGTTCCAGCTGTAAGGGTTCAGGACAGTCGTCTGACCGTCTGGGTTGACTTGACAGGGACCGTGCTCTATATGATCTCGATGAGCCGTCAATATTAACATTCAATACGCAGGGCGCACCTTGGAAGAGGCCAATCATTGAGGAGCATCCTGGGCCACCGTTCAACCTTCATCCCTCCCTAAGCTGAAGGCAAATTCATACACGGTGGACCGTAGCGACATACCACAGCGTAAACGGCGCAGCCTCAGGGTTGTGGCGCGCCTCAAAGAACCAGAACCACTACCCCAATGCCCCCATGTTCATCGAATGCAGCAGATGCTCATGCGAATAACGCACCATGGACAAATTAGTCCCCACATCGATGTATCCCGACAGCTGCTTCACTCCCGGGGTGGTCTCGCACACGCCCGAATTCTTGACGAATCGCAGCTTCGTGTCGTTGAGGACTTGCGACTGGAACTCGACGTAGTTCGTGCCAAGGTCGAGGACCGCGTCTGGTCGGTCGGTCACCTCGGCGAATGTCGGCCACCTCGCAGCGAAGGCAGACGGGAGGAGGGTCGCTAGCACCGCGAGACTAGAGAGCCACATGTCGAGCTGGAGCCTGGAGACCACGGCTGAGGGCAAGATGGTCAATCGGAGGCTGGCGTGGTGGCTGGCCTTATATCAGATTCACGTCGTCGCGCGGCATGCTTGAACGGGAGAACCGGGAGCCTTGCAGAATGTCTACGACGCGGAACGCTGCAATGCGTGTCGCATGCATGTCGCAGCGGCAGCCGGCTATCATGTGGGGAAGGAGAAGCGCGGTTTGGTGCATGGTGCAGCGACTGAAAATAGCACCGGCGGGTCATGCATGGCGACCAATATGCACCGAAGCTTGGCAGCGATAAGGATTTGTCGTTCTGCATTCCCATGTCTACGGCGAATGCAGGGCAGTTACTTGTGGTGTCCGACATGCAAAGGAAAGCTGAAGCCTTGAGTGGAGAATGGGCAGGCAGCACGCATCACGATTATATGGTGGATTGAGGACAAGCAGCGTGGGCGTCTCTGCCTATTATATAGTTCAGTGCTACATCGACGGAGGCCCAACATGAACCTCTCAGGGTGTCTCAGAGCCATAGCATCTGAAGCACCTAACTAACCGCGCCGAGTAATATATTCTATTCAGATCGTACAGTGGGCGAGAAGACAAGGAGTCGCGGTACGCAGACAGACTCCTCCCTCGGTTTCACGAGCTTGAAGTATCCCGAACTTACTGACGCTGCATGCCTACCTTAGCGACAGGCTCTTGAGAACATTGCACAATTCCATTTGTCCTGAAGTCTGGGCCAACAGCCAACATAATCGCACACGGACGTAAGGCGGCGCCTCGCATGAAGTCTTCTGACACAGCTACGGTAAGTCCCTCGCAGTTCTAGGACTACGGCCGCTGCTTCGGGCATGGCATCCCTAGCTTCTTTGCCTCGTGGAAAAGCGAACTCAAAGCCTAGTACTCGAGCACCCGTATCTTCGTATCTGACCACTTCCACCTCGGCCTTTAATCCAGCAACCCTTGGACACGGTTACGCGACTCGATGGCGCCCACCTCCGACGACGTCCTCGACATTGCCCGGAAGACCATTAAGATCTTCTCGAAATACGGCTTAAACTGCTGTCTGTTTGGAAGCACCGCCAGCTATCTCTACGGTGTCAAGCGGACCCCAAACGTGAGTTGCGTCCATTTACCCCACGTGTGCTGCATCTGACATTGATGTCCCAACCCATCAGGACGTCGATATCGTCGTTCTCTCCAACGCCTACAGCCAGGAAACCTTGAAGGAAATCCTTGTACGCGACGACTCCCACTTCTATCTAGTCGGATCCAAGAATCGACGCGCGACGTACCGCGTTCTCTGGTACAGTCTCTCCAACAGCTCCTTCCACCGTCCTTCCCTCGACTGCAAAGTCGACATCCTCATCCCCGGCATCCTGGGCATCCCCATGGTCCCTGCAGAGCGCGTGCACACGATCGCGGGGCTGCCCGTGATGCCGATGATCCCGCAACTCCTGCTCAAGGTCCAGGGGTGGTCGGACCATCGCGCCTCGCATCGCTCGGATATGCAGCAGAAGCAGTACGTCGATATCGGGGACATCGACGAGCTGCTGGCCATTGCCGTCGCGGAGGGCGCGGACGTGCGCGCTCCCGAGTGCAAGTGGCTCCCAGGGTCTATGACTGGAGTCGCGTCGACGCGGATCTGGTCGTATACTCTGCGCGGATCGGCGAAGAGCAAGGGGGAGTGGAAGCAGCTTGGGTTCGAGATCCCTTGACTCAGGCCGTTGGTAAGTTCATCTTTACCGACAGGCCGGGCCGCGCTAACCCTGACGCACTGCGGTAGGCCTGAGTACACGGAGTCTCGAAGCTCCACCTTGAGTCTGCTCCTGAGGGCTTCGATAGCCTGCATACCTTTTCCTGTTTCCGGCGATGCGGTGAGAGCCAAAGAATATCCTCCGGTCACGTAGTAGGATCAGTTTGCGTTGCCCATCCATAACGTCTTGTGTGGCACTTTCCTTTATATACTCTCCGCGTATATGTCTACCTCGCGTCCTCCTGTGATCTTGACACAACTCACACGTAGACGAGTTGTACCATGTATTCAAAATCAATATCGTGCTCGGTGTTTCGGGCGTTTCTTATGATTACCATCGATCGGCACTACTTGGTTTGCACCGCCACACTCCAGTTTCCACTTGATCAGTCTGAGATCAAGAACATCTCGAACCCAAATCACAGAGCGCGCTACCGTTTACGATGTTAGCTGGTGGCAGCATCTCCACGATTCCCCATCTCAAGGCGTATCTCCCTAGGCGCCTGTTGTCGCATACAGCCATCCGGCAAGGTCAACGCGAGAATCTCCTGTTCAACCGGCACACATACTCCTGGTTTTGGCTCCGCGACTCGTGCCAATGTCCATCCTGCATACACCCAACCACCCGGCAGAAGCTCCATCGTACCTCAGATATCCCAGTGAATGTGAAGCCGGTGGAGGCAAACGGCCTGAGATTGTCTAAGGACGGTGTACACATCAATTGGGACTCCGGCCACGAGTCGTTCTACTCCTCCGAGTTCCTCCGACGGTACGCATCTCGCGAGAGCAAGACAGAGTACCATCGCGACGTGGAGCGTGTCCTGTGGAACGTCAAAAAACTGAAGGCGGCACCCAACCTGTACCTCCCGTATGACGCCGTCAAGACACCTGCTGGGCTTCACACGGGGCTCACGCAGCTCATCCAGTATGGGCTGCTGTTTGTCACCGGCGTACCTACGGAGAAGACGTCGAACGAGGAGTGCGAGCTTCGTGCGCTGGGGGAGCGCTTCGGGGAGCTGAGGAGGACGTTCTACGGCGAGACGTGGGACGTGAAGAACATCCGGAACAGCCGCAACATCGCGTACACGAACGTCGACCTTGGCCTCCACATGGACCTTTTGTGAGCGACTAGATACTCTGCCTGCTCTCCCTCATACTGACCTTCCTCTGCGCAGGTACTTCCAACATCCACCACGGTATCAGATTCTGCACTGCCTCCGCAATCGTGTGGAAGGTGGCACATCAATCTTCGTCGACGCGGTTCACGTCGCATCCGAGCTCCGCCTGGAGAATAAAACCGCTTTCTATGCCCTTGCACACAACGACGTCACTTTCCACTACATCAATGACGGGCACCACCTCCACCACTCGCACCCTACCATCCAGCTCTCGTTGAGTCCGTCCTCCTCCAAGTCGACTAGCGCCTACCCCAAGAAGCCAAAGAAGCGCCGCTCTATCGAGTTCATCAACTACTCGCCGCCCTTCCAGGCGCCGCTGCCGCTCGAGGTCAAGCCACAGGAGTTCGTCCCCGCCCTCAAAAAGTTCGCGGATATGCTTGAGGACCCGGCGGTGCGATTCGAGTACCTGCTGAAGGAGGGCGACGCGGTGATCTTCGACAATCGGCGTGTGCTACATGCGCGCACGGCATTCCACGAGAAGGAGGCGGAAAGCAACGAGGAGGAAACGAATCGATGGCTGAAGGGCTGTTACCTCGAGGCCGACGCGATTCTGGATCGGCGCAGGGTCCTGAATGCGCAACTGGAGGAGGCTGCCAAAGCATGATGTTCATTGACGTTTCTCGCTCCCGAGTAAGCAATTAATTCTTCAAGGTCTACCGTGTCTGTCCCCTGACTCTCACATGAAACAGAGAACAGGCTCCACGCAGCGGAACGGTCCGTAGCGTAGCGTCGTTACCGTGCTCCCCATGTGCTCAGGGGCAACGAAGCTTACCATTCTTCATTTCCGTCGTTCTGTTCTGATGCTGTAAAGCTCAATTACATGGAAGTCGAACCCAGCACGAGGATAGAGTCACGGCGACAGCCCCAACTGATCGTGAGTAAATGTCAGGATAGTCGTGCTCGTAATCAGCCCGTCGTCCTACCAAAGGGCCCGGATAGACCAAACCCACACAGCGTACATATAACACTTTGCATGACCCACGAAACGACGCTCCCCGAATCCCCGTCAAGTATGAGACTGTGTGGTGACCGGGGTCCTGCAGCGCAAACACAAATTGCCACAGGCGCTTGTACTGGGTCTGTCATTGACTATCACCTCCGACCATATCTGCGTGTGCGGATCGTCCACGAGCATAGATCCGGCCATTGAAGAACATAATCTTCTGTCTTTAGCACGCTAAGGCGAGACGGACTTCCGTTCCAGTAAGCAAGCCAGATAACTCCTAAATATAATACTACTGACGCGACTAGTTGGATCAGTCCTGCACAGGTGGGGTATGGTCTCGTGGGTGCAAGCGAGTGCTACCGCTGTCGGCATCGCGCGTCGATCCATGCTATTGGCTCGCTCCCGTGAGCTGTATTCCATATGCATAGTCTCCTCTCGTGGGAATTACGGGAGAAAGACGAACGTGTCGATTTCGAATGGATGGGACTCGTCTCGTCATCCTCATTGAGAACATTGACACGGCGTTGCTCTTCATTGTGGATCGACGCTGCAAGACAACATACTCAAGGTCCTGTCATGTCGCTTGTCCTTCTCCGCATACGGGGGAGTTCACATGCGTGTATTTGAGCCTCGATAATTACATACACTGACTGATATAGTTCATCTGGGCCTACCGTGAACACCGTGGCAGAAGGTGCTCACGCCATATGTACGTGTATGCTTCTGATAGCGAGCACTTCGCCTTTGCTGACTAGCGGTATCATCTGAAGGTCCCTTCAACGTCCGGAACGTGCGAACAACAGTACGCGATCAAGGTACTATCAGGTCCCGAGCACGGTTCCGGGGACACCGTGTGTCCCGTTGCATACATGGCCGGCATATCTACTGTGAAGTGCAAGTTTACACCATGACGGGCTCATACCATAATATGGGCGGAACCTACTGTAGCTCGGATGCACTGCGAGCTTGCTTCTCATTCGACCGCGATATCTCACCCCAAGACGGTGGCGGACATATATGAACCCTCGCCTTACCACGAAGACAGCATCGTCGCCTTGCCAGCGGTGAACGACAGCCTAGGTCTACGACGACGCTTCAGCCATGCTCTCAGGCCTCCGCCTCGCATCAGTATTTCTCGGTGTCTTATCCCTCGGCCTCGACAGCGATGCTCTCGTGGTTCGGAAGTCGTCCCCTGTAACGTTGCAGTTTGCACGTCGCTTCAACTTCACTGGGACGTCGAAGATCTTGGAGCTCGACCAGGCCCGCGCTAAGGCCCTCAAGGCTCGTGCGCTTGCGCACCCCGGACGCCTCACCCGATCGGCCATCACCAACATTGATGCAACTAATCAGGCTGTCGAGTACACTGCTACGGTAAGCTGGCTGACTTCGTGATATCAACTTCATGCTTAACGGGCCGACCCCCTAGGTCGGCGTTGGAACCCCTCCCAGCGATTGTACGCGTCAGTCAATGGTTCCTGGTGCATACGCTAAACAATCCACTTAGTCACCCTGCTCATCGATACTGGAAGCTCGAACACCTGGGTAGGGGCTACGAAACAATTCGAGGAGACTAGCTCGACCGTCAACACTGGCCAGCTTGTGGTACGTATGACATGTTCACACTTGGAATATTTTTGACACGGTGGACATTCATAGGAAGTCGTCTATGGCTCTGGTTTCGTGATCGGTGAGTATTATGCCAAAGTGAGATATTCGTTTTTCTGAACAACAATTGTTCCTTTTCAGGCGAGGAGTTCACCGATACCGTCACTTTGGCGCCTGGACTGGCGATTGAGGCTCAGTCAATCGGCGTCGCCATCGAATCCTCAGGATTCGAAGGTCTCGACGGTATATTGGGGTATGTTACCGAGACACCGCGTCATGCAAGAATCGATGAAGCGATCGCTTTTCTAGCATCGGCCCAACTGACCTGACATGCGGTTAGCTAAATGCTGCGTCCAACGGTGGCTGAATACTTACACTACAAGTATGCAGGTACCCTCATACCCGACGAGTCTGCGTGTATTCCGACAGTCACCGACAACGCGTTTGCGCAAGGCTTGATCGGCGAGGGTCAGGTCGGCGTCTCGTTTGAGCCGACCACCAGCCTCGAGGTTACGAATGGCGAACTCACCTTTGGCGGTACTGACCCGAGCAAGTTTACTGGAGATCTCAATTTCGTGTACGTAAACTACTAAACATCTGCGTCTTTCAAGAGATGACGTGAGCTATAACAGTCCGATTACCTCCACCGCTCCTGCCAATGAGTTCGTTGGTATCGATCAGACTATCACTTATGGTAGCGCCGGCACGACAGTCCTGGCCTCCACCGCTGGCATCACTGATACTGGCACCACTTTGCTGCTGATTGCTAGCGGTATGTGACTTTCTCCTTCCGTCCGGCACCCTTGGGCTCACAGGATTGGCTTTCAGATGCCCTCGCCACTTACCAGAGTCTCACGGGCGCTGTTGCGGACGAGAATACCGGGTTGCTGAGGCTGACGCCAGCTCAGTTTGCTGACCTCCAGAGCTTGTTCTTCCAAATCGGCGATGTGAGTACAAGTCGGTTCCTTGGCGGACACTCTTTAGCTGATAAATGTACTCAAGAACACTTTCGAGTTCACTCCGAACGCGCAAGCCTGGCCTCGAGCAGTGAGTAGATATATCTTGACAGGAGCTAACAACATTTGCATGTATAGTGGCTCACTGCTTTGCTTAGCTTAACACTGCAATTGGAGGTACCAACGAGTTCGTATACCTTATCGTCGGCGACCTCGGGACAGACAGCGGTGAAGGGTTCGACTTCGTCGACGGCATGACGTTCCTCGAGCGATTCTACTACGTCTTCGACTCTGCAAACAGCCAAGTCGGATTTGCCACGACCCAGTTCACGAACGCAGAGACAAACTGAGGCTCATCCCGTAGAATTACGCTGCTCCCCTCGATCGGTCAATGATTCTCGTTATGTTCAGGGTCTTGTGTTGGGTATGATCTGGACTAACGGATGTTGTCATGTTTCTTGAGAAGGAGTTATTCCACCGCTGAACCGGGAACGGATCTGGCAGACTGTTCGAGACATATATAGTGACATGCCGAACCGGGCACACGCCCTTCAGTGATCGCCAGGCGGTACTTTTATCTGACAGTCCTCACTCAGGCCTTGTGACGATGTTCGAGGTTCCTGTGGGAAATGGGCATATCGTCGGCAACGTTCATTCGCTGGATGGGCCGACGGCAGAACTAATCCCACAAGCATATTCTCGGAACAACGTATCAGCATCCTAGTACGTCGGAAGATCTTGTTTCAGACACTGCGCAGCTCACGTCGGAATAGCTTATCTCACGGAGGTACTCGCATGCAGAATGCGAAGCAGAATGGATGTTGTCATCCAGGCTACGCAGTACGTGCTCAAACGCTGCCGTACTGAATCAATCTGCTTCCGCCTGACTTCCATCTCACGGCTCTGAGATGAATGGACCCGGAATGTGCGCCATGTAATCCTTCTCAGGCGCTCTTTGGTCTTTCGGCGTATGCAAATGCCAGACATGGGAAGTTTCGGGCTGACAGGTCAAGAATAGAGGTCTTCCTAACTGTGCTCCACCAGTGGTGGCCTGCGCTTGGGCGAAGATGAACAACGCGCTGACGTCATCTTTTTCGAGTTACTACTGCTAATGCTTGATCTTATTGGACGCAGGGTGTGGTAGCTATCGGCTACGATACGTTCCCTGTTGGGCGAAGAAACTGGGCCCAAGTAATGGTCTGCATCTCACGTACGATGATCTGGGAACAGTATATGAACCTTCACGAGGGCTACCGCCGCTCTACGCTCACCCACGGCGTGATCTCCGTGTTTTCCCCCATTCTAGCCCCGCACAGGCCATCCAGACGTATCTCTGCCCTGCTCTGCCCCCTCGCACGCACACACAGGCACGATGCTCGCCGGTCTCCGTCTCATCTCCGCAGCGCTCTTACCCCTTGCCCTAACTGTTGACGCTGGGCTCATACGACGTGATGCAGTCCCTGTGACAATCCCTTTTGCCAGACGATTGAACTTTACCGGCACCGCAAAGCTCATCGAGCTAGACCAGGCGCGTGCGAAGACGCTCAAGGCCCGCGCAAACAGTGGATTCAAGCAAACCGCGGTCTTTGATGCCCCGGCCACGAACCAGGCGGTCGATTATACCACTACTGTGCGAAGCGTCCTACTCTTACTTAGATATGAGACACGAGCTCATAATCAGGGTGTAGGTTGGTGTGGGTAACCCGCCGCAGAACTGTAGGTGTCCCTCAGTGAGATGTATACCCTCGCGCTGAGGCAAGGACGGTACCGTGTATCCAGTCACCCTGCTCATTGATACTGGAAGTTCGAACACTTGGGTGGGAGCGCAACTCCTCACCAACCCATTCCTCCCCACCACATCGGGATTTACCGGCAATCTAGTAGTATGTCTCTACGATATGCTCTCCGCCGATATTCTCGTGATCACTGACCTGCCCCGGACGACACAATGTGCAGTCCGTCACCTACGGCTCCGGGTTCTTCATCGGCCAGGAATTCACAGATACCGTTCACTTGGGAGGTCTCGCTATCGAGAACCAGTCATTCGGCGGAGCACTCGTCTCTGAGGGATTCGATGACGTCGACGGGATCATAGGGTGAGTGCGCAATTGTCATGCTCATCTGAATACGCGCCTGATACCCTCTAAGCATTGGACCAGCGGACCTGACTTGCGGTACACAAGACTGCATTGCTTTGCCTGAATGATGTGACACTGAATCGGTCGTCTATATAGGCACTCTCATCCCAGCGGTCGACGATTGTATCCCTACTGTGACCGATAACGCGTTCAGTCAGGGTCTGATCCCGGCGCACGAGATTGGCATCTCCTTTGAGCCCACAAGCAGCCTCGACAACACAAACGGCGAGCTCACCTTCGGCGGCGTCGACACGAACAAGTTCACCGGACCCCTCAACTTCGTGTAAGTTGTTGTACCCTATGTTCCAGCTCCAAGAAGGCTGATGCCAATGCGCCCCCTCGCCCAACAGGCCGATCACCTCGACCTCTCCTGCAAACGAGTTCGTCGGCATCGACCAGTCCATCACCTTCGGCTCCACCGACGGGCCCACCGTCCTCGCGTCGACGGCCGGCGTCACCGACACCGGGACCACCCTCCTGCTGCTCGCGACTGGTAAGCGCGTTTCCCTCGGACCAGCGCACGACACAAAACTAACAGGGTCTCCCACCCTTCAGACGCCTTCGACACCTACCAGAACCTCACCGGCTCGACTCTGGACGCGACCACGGGCCTCCTCCGCCTGACCCCAGACCAGGCATCGAACCTGCAGAGCCTCTTCTTCCACATCGGCGACGTGCGTCCCCCACCTCCGACTCCCATCGCCCATCTCCACACTGACACGCTGCTCCTCCCTCCCAGACCACCCTCGAGTTCACGCCCAACGCCCAGATCTGGCCGCGCGCGGTACGTCCCCCGCGCACCGCGATATTGGCTGACACTGACATTCATTTCTGCCCATCTGCCGCGCCCCAGCTCAACTCCGCGATCGGCGGGACGTCCGACTTCGTCTACCTCGTCGTGAACGACCTCGGGACCCTGAGCGGCGAGGGGCTGGACTTCATCGACGGCATGACATTCCTCGAGCGGTTCTACTACGTCTTCGACATCGCGAATAGCCGTGTCGGATTCGCAACTACGCCGTTCACAGACGCGACAACGAACTAGATGAAAGCGTGCCGCTCGTTAGTAGTCGACTCGCAGCCCCAATAGATACATAATCTGCCTGCTGTGCTTGGATTGTTCCCGAATGCAGTACCCGAGGGTATGTCCGAGATACTAGACTGAGCGTGCATTGTAGAACAGCGAAAAAAAAACCAAATCAATGGCGGATTGCATTAAGGGGGAATCGAACCCCCGGCGGGTCGATGGCAACGACCCAGGTTACCACTACCCCATTAATGCGACGTACGGTACCAAAGCCGAAATATAATCGGTTGTAGCGGCAACACATGCACATTTCACTTGTCCGTACCCTTCTCACCAGCGAGCTCGAGATTCTCCTCCTGGGTCTCTCTGACGTCCTCCGGCTCTTCGAGCTCCCCGCGCTCCTTCACTTTACGCTCCTCCTCGCTCTCCTTCCATCGGCTCTCATCGTAATCCTCCGCGATCTTGCTAATTTCGCTGCGAATCCCCTTCGCTTCGGCCACGAGGTCCATCCATCGGTCAATATCAAGCCCCCGTGCTTTATAAAGCGCCTCGCGTCGCGCCGAGACCGAATGATGCAAGACGGAAGAGTAAGACACTTCGCGTCCTTGATACAGGAACCTGCACAGTCGGGACGACAGAACGCGGTACGCGTTCAGCTTAAGTTTCTGGCTGCCTGAGTGCAAACGAACGCACCAGAGGTAACTCAAGACGACCATCGACAGCCCCGACAAGTAAGTGATAGGCTCCATCACGTCCCACCCGTAGTCCCAGAACGTCAGCCTCGCCACCGCGCCCCAATAGACGACCAGGATCCCGAACCCGCCGAGCGCCATCTTCCGCGCGCCGCGGTGCGCCTCCATGTCGCACGCGCGCTTCAGCTCCTCCATGCGCGCGAGCTGGTGCTCGACGGCGGCGAGGCGCCGCCGGAGGAAGCGCGTGCGGTCCGCGAACGAGGGCACCTCGACGGGGATCTGCGTGTGCGGCTCCACGCCGGGGGCGTCCGCGATGCAGACCATGAACTCGCGCGTGCGCGCGGCGTCGCGGATGAAGTCGGCGACGTCGGTCGAGTCGGACCACCGGATCGCCCTGCCGCGGGGGGTGGTCGAGCGGAAGGTGATGGCGGGCGTGCTGGGCGCGAGCGACGAGGAGAGGAGGCGGGCGACGTGCGAGAGAGGCTGGGAGGGGTGGAGGAGGAAGACTATGGGCGGAAACGGTCTGGAGGGGTTGGGGTGCGTGTTGTTTTGCTTGATGGGGTCGAGCGGGATGATAAGCTTGAAGAGGTGCGAAGCTGTTGGCGAGATTTTTCCTAGGACAAGAAGAGGTCGATGGCAGGAAGATTGACCTGGTGTCTGAGTTGTGCGTACCTTTCCCTTCCATCGTTTCGCAGTCGTCGCTGGTCACCTCCCCCGTGTTGCGAGGGTCCTTGTCGTCCTCTCCCTTGTTCTCCTTCCATTTAGCCTTGTGCGATGCTTCTGCGAGGAACCTAGAATGGCCAACATTGACATTCTCTACCTGCTGTTGTGTTGTGACAAGTGGTCGTGTGCCGAGTCTATGCGCAGTGCCTGCTGTTCGTAGCACAAGTGCCGGATTTGTGTCCTTTCCGTGGACAGAAAATACAGAATGTCGTGTATGGATACGCTGTCTAGCGCAAAGACCAAGGAGAGTGAAGCCGAATCTCATGAGCGAGCGATGGCTGTGGAGGGAGGAAGACGACCGAAGACCATGATGCTCGTGCAGGAGCGAGTCGCAGATTGTCTATGACCTAGAGCGGCGCAGTCCTCTTGCCCCATTGAGGTTATCTTGACCCAAATGAGGCAAGTACCGAGCCCGGCCTCTACCGTACTGGCGCTAAGTTCGAATTGCAGGCCTTGGCCGCACAGCCCACAATCTCAGTCTTTCATGCAACTATGTATCTACTGAGATGAAGAACTCGAGGGAAGCGTTCGCCAGCTGCACGCTGCCTTATGGCGGTTGCCTCATTCCTACTGCACCTCATACTTGGCGCGAGCGGATTAGGGATCAGTCTCACCGCTCCTTCCTTCACTGTGAACCACGCCGCTCACAGTCGCATCCGAACCATCTGGAGGTTTGCCAACCTCTACATCTTCAGCTCCACGGGCACTCCTAACTCACAGTTTTCACTCTATCATGTAGGCAACTTTCTATATGATCCTGGATATGATTACTGATTCTCCGGTATACGTCAGCACGCCTAGTCCTCTATGCGGCTACTACATACCACGACGGGACACTTCGTCGAGGTCCCGGATTTTACAGAGGCGAAATACGCCATTCTCTCCCATACCTGGGAATCCAGCGGCGAGCAGACGTACCAGGAGCTCAAGGAGATCCAGAAGTCGTACGGCCCAGACGGTCAGCCTCGGGCGATCCCATCTCCATTGTCAATCCTGCCGATACATCCTCGCCTCCTGCCCCACAACAACCTTCGACGCCAAGTGTGCTGGTACACTCATTGGATGCAGCGACATCGTCCTCACATATCCTGTCAGCGTCACAGGACGAGCCCGATTCTCCCGCGCGGGAGCAGGTGCCTGCGATCTGGCGGGACCCTCGGCTCTCCGAGAAGGTCCGACGCCTGCGAGACAGCAAGAGCTGCAGGCTACGACCTCGTTTGGCTTGACTCGTGTTGTATCGAGAGTTGTCCGAACCGATCAATTCGATGTACATCTGGCACGGCGATTCCGACGTCTGCTATGCCTTTCTCGCGGATGTTCCTCCCGAGGACGATATTCGGGCGAACGGCTCCCGCTTCCAGACGAGCAGATGGTTCACCCGCGGATGGACGCTGCAGGAGCTCATCGCACCTCGTAAGCTCTTATTCCTATCGGAGGACTGGCGCGAAATAGGCTCGAAGAGCTATCTATCCCCTCTCCTGCACGGCTTCACCGGCATCGACGTCGATATCCTACTACATTAGACTACCTCATAATGCATAGGGTCGGTACCCCCATTTCCGTATGCATCATGGGACATTATGCATTATCAGACGGCCTGTCGAGTGTGAAGCGCCGAATTGGTACCCGTCCGGGGCCTCTGCGGCGATATGCATCATCAGATATGACCTCATGCATTATGAGGTAGTCTACTGTACATACGCGCTCTCTAAACAAGGTCAGCATCGCGAGGCGCATGTCCTGGGCATCCCACCGGGAGACTTCGCGCGTGGAGGACCTGGCGTTTGTCTCTGGTATCTTCAACATTAACCTGCCCACCCTCTATGGCGAAGGCGAGGTGCTTTCAGGAGGCTGCAGGAGGAGATCCTCCAGCGCATTCTAGACCAGAGTCTTTTCGCCTGGACCGCTGATGCTAAGAAGTCTGATCAGATCAGCCAGAACATGGATGATATCTTGTTCAATGCAAGGTCCTACACCCAGGCGGAGGACAGTCTTCTATGATCAGGGATTAGATGCAGTCAAGGTCCCCCGGCTTCAGGTATTTATCACCTGCTGGGAGGAGAAGTCTTCGCCATCACGACGAATTTAAGTTATCCATTCGCATCGAAGTGATTCTGACCACAGGATTGTCCACAGAGGTTCTATTGGAGCACGACGCGCCCCTTCCTCCATTTTGAGGATCGCACATCCCGCTCTGAGAGCAGCGCCCCATCCAGGATCAGCCCACGGTACGCCTGTGTGGGCCCATGTCTTCTTGAGCTCGTTCCATACTTCTGCCTGACTACTTGCTTGGCATCTCGACATGATATGCTCCATCGATTCTAACTTTCCGCGCACCGCGCACATCGCCCTGTCCTGATATCCTTCGGGCAAACCTTCTCTCTTCCAATGTTTTCCAATCATGACAACATCATGAGTCCCACACCAAAAACGCAAGACTATCTTGGAACGTGTGTTTCGACCTGATTGATCTCCATTGACCGATTGTATCGCCTACGATATTCTCCAGGTTAGCATTGGCCTGTGCTCGTGGTTTCTGTCTAGGTTCTGTTTCGCTTGCAAGTCCCGTAGCTGACAGCGTACATACATTACACACACAACACGCGGTGCGCAGCCGCGATCACTATCCAAGCAAGACTTCCTACACCACGAAAGCTTCACAGCTTCGCACGCGCCGCCAGCTTCTGCTTGAGCTTCTCCTGCACCCGTCATCAGCGAATCGCGTCGCCCGCAAAACCCAAGGCCACTCACGTTAACCTTGTCCATGTACACGTCCGTCACGACCCAGTGCTCCCGCTTCATCTCCTTCCCGTGGATCGCCAGCGCAAGGTCCTTCGTCATCACCCCGTCCTGGTCGATCACCTCCACGCACGCCGCCTCCAGCTCCTCGCAGAACGTCTTCAGCGCCGCGTTCCCGTCCAGCTTCGCCCGGTGCAGCAGCCCCCGCGTCCACGCGAAGATCGACGCCACCGGGTTCGTCGACGTTTCCCGCCCCTTCTGCCACTCCCGGTAGTGCCGCGTCACCGTCCCGTGCGCCGCCTCGCTCTCGATCACGTCCCCGGCGGGCGTGATCAGCTCTGAGGTCATCATCCCCAGCGAGCCGAAGCCCTGCGCGAGGATGTCCGACTGCACGTCCCCGTCGTAGTTCTTGCACGCCCACACGAACCCGCCCGAAGACTTGATCGCTTGCGCGACCATGTCGTCGATCAGCCGGTGCTCGTAGTAGATCCCTGCAGAGTCGAAGGCGGCCTTGTACTCGCTGTTCGGGGTCAGTTCTGGATGGTCGCTGCGTAAGGATCGTGGGGCGTACCTTTCGTAAATCTCCTGGAAGATATCCTTGAACCGTCCGTCGTACTTCTTCAAGATCGTGTTCTTGGTCGACATGAACTACGAGCGCAACACTTCGGCTTTTGTTTCAAACATACATGAGCGACCTGCTCACCAGAGGCAGCTTCTTCTGGAGCGCCATCTTGAACGACGAGTGGGCAAAGCCACGGATCGACTACAAAGACTGTAAGCACTCTCGTCAGACGCAAATAGTGACCCTACGCGACTCACCTCGTCAGTGTTGTACATCGCAAGCGCGACGCCGGCGCCCTTGAAGTCATACACATTGATACTCGTCGGCTTGCCCCCATCCGCCGGCGTGTACACCAGCTCCAGCTTGCCTGGCCCCGGCGCAAGGAAGTCCGACGCGCGATACTGCCCCACCCCAGTTCTCGTTCAGCCTTTACTCTCCCCTGCTTCCCCGCGAAACACGCACCTGGTCCCCGAACGCGTGCCGCCCAATCACGATTGGGTTCTTCCACCCGGGCACAGGGCGCGGGATGCGCGCGAGCACGATCGGCTCGCGGAAGACGGTGCCGCCGAGGATGTTGCGGATCGTCCCGTTCGGGCTCTTCCACATCTGCTTGAGCTTGAACTCGGCGACGCGCGCCTCGTCGGGCGTGATCGTCGCGCACTTGATGCCGACCTTGTGCTTCAGGATCGCCTCGGCCGCCTCGACGGTCACCTTGTCGTCCGTCTGGTGCGCGCACGTTGCGGAGGAACGCGATGAGTGGAAAGGGAGGTACTGGAGGGGCGCAAGGACGTACCGCATCACGGTGCTCGAGCCCGAGGTCGTAGTACTCGATGTCCAGTTGTAGATATGGAAGTATCAACTGCGAGAGAGCGAAAGCAACTTGAGCAAGACGTCCGACTGATCCGGCGTGCTGCAGGTCGCGTAACCTTCGCCGTTCTCCCCCAGAGGCCCTTCACTTGGGCAAGTACGCGCTGGGCGCGCGGCCGGCCGAATAGCTGATGTCACGCACCTCCTCCCGGATCTTCTTCCAGATAATCCTCGTCATCTCATCTCCATCAAGCTCAACGATCGGGTTCTGGACGACGATCTTGTTCTCTGCAGACCCGTCCAATCAGTTACCCCACATCCAGAGCGCAGCCACCCCCACACACGCCAAGCGTCCCCGTCCGGTTGCACGGCAGAGCACGGTGCGACGGGAGCGGCAGCCAACCAGAGTTTGTAGAGCGAGTTAACGTTAGCTTCCGGGCGCCCCAACGAGTCAGAAATCGGGAAAGGGACTCACGCATCCTAAGAGAGCTGCTCGCGAAGCCGCGGTAGAGTGCAGAAGCAGTGGGGGCAGCAGCGAAGTGCCTGCCGTGCAACGAGCGTGCGACACGACGGGAGAGCATATTGTCACGAGGACCGGGTATGGATGCAAACTATGCCGGTGTGTCGTCTCGTCGGTAGGTCTGGGTCGCAGAGAGAGCTGGCGGGTGCAGCGGGGCAGTCAGATAGCTTGCGGGGGGAGTGCCAGCACCGTCGGCGGCGGTTTGAGGCTTTTTGTGGATGTTTGGGAGTGCCTTGCAGCGAGAACCTCGGCCGAATCAACAGATGCAACCAAGCGAGCTGCGACTGCCGTGAGCTCGCCCGGTCAGCAGGCTCCACGGACCACGGTGATCATCTTATCTAATCGGATAACTCCCTTGGGCCTATTTCTGGGCATAACGTCGGCTTGTCGTCGAAAATAGCAGATACTCTGGTATGTAGGAGCGCCCGCGCGAGTTGGCACCAGTACCCACCTCGACGCCGACGAGGACTGGTCTGGTCCTCACGTCCCTCTCCATCTCCTGCTTGTCCCGGTCACTGTCATGTTCCCCTCAATATCTCTGCTAAGCAATCTCGTCAGCGCACCGTTCAAGCGTGCCCAGCTCGGTCTCTTCCACGGGAAGACGAAGCAGTACGGGAACAGCGTACCGAACTCGAAGCACAAGACACGCAGGACATGGCTGCCCAACATCCACAACCGACGCCTATTCTCCGACACTCTCCAGCATCACCTCCGCGTGAAGCTCACCGCGCGCGCGCTCAAGACGATCCACAAGGCGAGTCCCGCACGCGGCGTCCGGGTTCGCGTGATTTGCTGACGCCAGGGGACGGCCACTACAGCATGGGGGCATCGACAACTACCTGCTCAAGACGAAGCCGGAGCTGCTGGGCTGGGAGGGAATGCGCCTGCGCGTGCTGGTGCGAGAGAGACAGCAGCAAGCTCGAGCAGCGAGCGAGGTCGCAGAGGTCCTGTCTCATGATGCTGCTTAAGGGGGTGTCAGGTGCGCGTACACGGTCGTACGACTGAATGGCGGTCTATTGACTACGGGCGCACGGACCAGGCTCCCGACATATCGCCCTGCAGAAGGTTTCTTGTGTATACCGTAGAACTCGGTCGCCGAACGCATACGCATCGGTATCTGCCTAATCCGCATTCTGCTTCATCTGACGTCGTCGCTCACCTTGAAGCCAACTTCTTTCGGCACGTTTCTGTAATCAACGAAATCCACTTTGCAAGGAACTCTTGTCAGGTCTGACATGAGCTTGATATCGAGAAATGTCGTCAAGCTCTGTGTATCAGCAGCCAGGCCATGCCATCAGCAACAACCGTGCTTGGTCTAGAGGTGGTCGTTGCAGCCTTGTGATTGCGGACGCGATTTTCAATCTCTCTCCCTACCTTCGCACCTAACATATAAAGTCTTCAAAGCTCCCTACCCTGCGTCACTTCACGGGTGCGTGTTTCTCACGGCGACTTTGGCGCAACCGTGGATCAACATCAACCAGACATGTGCTCGACTGGGTCAGCAGGGGCATCATTTGTGCCATGGAGGCGTTGGGAAAAGTGCTACCCAACGCAACGCAGGTCAAATGGTCTCTAATCTTCGTCTCCCCGAGCGATCGTGGCCAGTCCATCGCAAACAGCGCTGCTCGCCAATGGAATTCGGATATTACAGGCCTCGAGGTCAAACTGGGCCGTTGAAGCTGGGCGGACCGGTGGCAAGCACAGAGAAGCTATTGGTGAGCCTCAGTGCGTCGCTAGCGTTTGGATAGGGATTAGACCAAGGATGATTGGATAGGCATCAAACTAAGAATGCTTCCTACAGCGGAAGCTTGAAAGTGGGATCTCGATTCTCAGGATGAGTGTCAACCAGGCGTGGGACGTATGTCTCCAGCATATCGATAGCAGCTAAGTACACCTGTATGCTCCCATATCAGTTCTTCTGCGGAGTGATGTCTTATTTGGGGTTTTGACCGTCATGCTGAACGCACTTACACTGGTTTACGTTTACACGGGCTCAACTGCAGACCTTGTTTCGTGCACTACTTACTACGGTCACTCGGCAGGGAGTCTGAATATGCATACATTGTGCTGTATGCGCAAGGCGGCGGCGGTAGGGACTACCGATTATGCATTAATACGGCGCTGGAGACGTGAATTGTAAGTGTACCTGGCCGATAGCTATGACGGCTGATGTATGTGTGCATCCTATGATATACCCGAGAAGACGAGAAGACGAGGAACGAAGGCAAGGACGAGAGAGAGGTGGATGATAGGTCAGGCGGGGGCTAAGTGCCTCCGCCCACGAGTTAATGAGCACATAAATTACCGTGTTGTATCCGAGTGCAGGTGGCCGGTGTGGCGACCGAGTTCTGGTAGTCTAGGACATGAAGTATAGGAAGCCATCAGAAGGAGTGTTCACAAACGTGGACGATAACCAAGGAAAAGCGAAGAAGTCGTTACAATCATGAAGGTGTAGCGGCGATGGAAGGTGTGAGTAGTCGAGAACGAGGGTCGTCAGAACAACGTCCGTGAGTATCCACATATGCAGACAACAGCAACGCTCAGCACCGATATGGCCGAAATATCGCCGTAGCGGGAGCGGGCAGCGGGCACGAAACGGACGGCCGCAGACCAAGGATGTGCCGGGAGCGATCGTCATCCGCCTCGAACAGGCACAGGCGGGGCAGGCGCGCTCGGCCGGAAGCTCGTCTTCGACGCCGTCGGCGTCCCGGGTCGACTCCCGCTTCGCATCTTCTGCCACCAGTGGCGATTCGAGTTTATCGTCGACGCCTCTGCGGCCATGCCCGGGTCAAAGCTCGAGTGCTCGCTCGTGCTCCCGACGAAGCTCCCGCTGCCGACGCTACTGTCGACAGACCTGCGGCCGTCCACTCCATCCCCCGACGACTCGTTCGCCGCGTCGTCAGAGGGCTGGGGAGACTCTGTCCGCTCATGCTGCGGGGACGTGGGAGGGGCGTAGTACGTGAACGGCGTCTGGTCCGTGGAGTCGCTCGGGACGGGGTTGAAGAGCGCCTCGATCAGGTGCTCGGTCGTACGCAGTCCGTAGGATGTTGCTAGACGGTCGGCTTGGACATGCCCTTCTTTGTCGGAGTACGGGAACGAGCTGTCATCCTCAGGGTTATCCGCACCGACATACAGGTCGAGCTCGCGGGCGAAGCGCGTGTTGAACAGCCCGTTATTTGAAAGGATGCCTGACACAGAGGCGAGAATCTCTCCTTTGCGGAGCGGTGGCGGCTTGTAATGCTTCTCGCCGCCGATGTGTTCTAACTCGATAGAAAGCTGCATATCGGGAACGAATCAGCTGGGAGCCTCAACTTACAAAGGAACACGACAGGCCTTCAGCGTCGCATTGGTTTTGCTCTGGCGGAGGAGATATCGCCGAGTAACTTTACCAGCGTCCGCGTATTCAGCGAGGTTCAGATACACCACTCCGAGGCGAGGATGTTGGGGCGCATCCGGATCGCCGTGCACGACGCGCTGGCAAAGGATGTCAGTACCGTATCACACATTCGGAAAACATAAACAAGGGTGCGATAGAGTTGGGAACAAGCGCGGCATACCACGGGTCGCCTCCGCTCGCTGTCACGCACTATCTCGCCCCACACAGAAGCCCGCATTTGACAGCGTGTCTCACCGCGCTCGTCCCACTCTGCCATATCAGTTGTACTCTAACATCACGCTGCGCGCGATTGTTATCATAGCGTGGGCGGCACTTCGCCGATAACGGCCACAGCACATGGATCCCGCACGGCCTCGCGCACGGGCTGTAGTGCGAGCGGCGACGTGCGAGCGGCGACGTGAAAGCGAACGCTAGCATGGAGAAATGACAGCAAGAGGGCGATTTCGAAATCGTAGAGGGTCGGATGAAAGCTGCGCGCTATGAAGCAGAAGGGGACAAGACGGATACTTACCTGCATGACTACGAGCTTAAGCTCGTTGGGTAGCAGGTCACCCGTTTCGCGATGCACGTCCATCTGGACTACCACGATCACGGAATGATTCCACTTCACGTTGTAGTTCTGCAGCTGCGCCCACGGAGTCATGCCGCGTGCTTCTGACCGTGACTGCAGGGACATCGCAGACAAATTCCGGACCATAGGGGCTGGGTGCTCCGTTGGGCGACTTGATGTGCTATGGCCATTCACGCGTGGCGTCGAATCGTCTGGGCCGCGCAACGACTCAAAGGCATGGTGGGCGTCGTGACTGTGGGTGCTCCTGGGCGATTCGGCCGTGTCGGCGTAAAGGTCGTCCTCGATGGTATCGTGCATGCTATCGTGTGCGCTCTCATCCTCATCATAGAGCTCACCCTCCTCTGTGACGCCCACCCCTTGTCCCGTCCCCGCCGCCCTGCCCTTCCCTTTACCATGCCCTGACCACGTCCCGGTGCCTCCTTTCATCTTGCCCAGTAAACCAGAACCAGACTGGACGCCCTTGAACTTCCATCGGACACCGAACTCGCCCTTGATGAGTGGGACATTGGAGAGCTGGTCGATTTCAAGGTGGACTTGGAAGAGGGCATGCTTGGGGATGAGGTGGCCCAGTTGAGAGCGAAGACCGTGGCTAGCAAGCGCGGGAGTGGAGGAGGACGCGCCGGAGCTCGTAGACGTGGATTCCGACGTATTCGAGGGTTTCATGGCGGCGGGAATTGGGGGGACGAGGGCGGGGGCATCCCCGGAGCTGATGATGGTCAGAAGTGTAAAGGTAAGCGTGCGAGGATGTGGAGGACGGGTAACGACCGCGGCGCGCTTACCGAGCTGCCCACATACTCAAGCGCCCGATCTCACTTTGCGCTGAGTTTAATGTTTCACCGACTGAGTTTCACCATAGAAGCCCCGGTTGGCCGTGGTGCCTGCCTAATCGTTTCGGAGATTCAGCGTGATTCAAATTCGAGTTGGCCCCGAGGTCTGGACCGCGAAACCCGTGGAGTCCGGTCTTTGTTTCTGGGCAAGATCCAAAGACAGGAAATGTGGCCGAGCGAGAACGCAGCTTTACATGTGCATCCTCCCACTACAGTACGGAACTGAAGGCGTAGAAGGGTATGGCTATATCACCCATCTCTATGCAAGCTTAGTAAAGTTCGAAAAGTGACGCTCTAGTATATGAAGAACCGATTCTCAAGTCTCCCTCGAGCGACAAGGATGCATAGTACAACGTCAGACAATGCCTCACCGGCCCCGACCTTCGTTCGGCACACCCATTACGGTTGGAAATCAATAGCGAACTCGAGAGAACAGGTCGCCACCATGAGCGGGCGTCTTGATTTAGCAAGTGTCCGGGGTCCGAGGCTGAGGAACTGGCCCTCGACGTCAGAGTCTCGACTGCAAGACTTCATTAACTTGTACAACTCTCGCGGGATCGAGCCTAAGCAGGAACCACCATGCTCTCGTCCTTGTTGCCAGCATCCCCTCACCCAACAAACGCGCCGTGACGCCAGAGCTCGAGCTCGAGCTAGGCGCTGATCACAAGACAGGGTACCCGCGGAGATGCGGAACTCCTGTTCTCAAAGTTCTCGCGACATGGACGTGACTGCTGCTTACCATACTGCTTTCGTCCTAAAGCGTGCGACAGAGGGCAGACGTCTTTCCATGCAAGCTTCTGGCCTCGACGTCTGCGCGCTGTGGGCTGTATCAGACACCTAACGTCCAGGGACAGGGCCTCTTGCCTCGCGCTCGGCTCATCCCCTGCAAACGCACCGAACGAGCCGGCTCACAGCGGGGCCACATGCAAGTGGCCATCTTGGACCCGTGCTCCGCTCTTCTCATCCGCCCCCGCATCACCCGTATTTTCTCCCTTGCTCATCCGCCCCTGTTTCGTGGCCTCAAACTCTGCGCTTGGCTCTGCACGATCTGCTAGATGCCTGCCTTGCTGTCCCTCACCGATGCGCCGCTGTTCAACATCTGGGAGCACCTGCTCGGCGACCTTCCGGCGCATGTTTCGCTTTCCCATACGTGCCGAAGATTGCGGGAGGTGTACAGCAAGGACGACTCAAAGTGGCAAGCAGCGCTTTTCAGCGCAGGTTATGGCTTGCCCTTACGACGTATGACGCCAATTGATGGCGCGGGTGCAGTCAGTGGCTTGAGCTGGCGCAGGCTGGCTGTATTTCTCGTGGGACACGCCGCCGTCTGTGAGATTGGCAGCTGTACGCGCGCGAATGCATGCTTTGGTGAGCACTCATTTTCGCTGCTCATTTTCTCTTGTCTGCAGTAAATCCGCCGTCTCCTGTAACTTCAAGATGCGAAGGGGTACGCTTCCGACGTGCTGTCGGCTGGTGGCTATCTAGTCACCGTTTTCATTGGTTGAGGCTCGCGGACAAATGGTCGAGAAAACCATGCCACACTCTGCGCAACCTGTTCTCTTCATTGGCGCATTCTGTGGCGATGTCTTCATATAGACTGCTCCGAGGCTATGTGCCGCCAATCCCAATGTACAGCGGGGACACACTTCGAGTGTATGCTGACGACCAGCGCGGGCGCTTGTGTCGGTGTGGCCAACGTATACAGGCGCTTCTTGAGCTTCCGCGCCCTCTGGACTCCCGAGCGACGTTCTTGGATACATAGGGTACCACAATCGTTCGTGCTTGGCTACACAGCTCGGACGGGGCTCGAGGCAGCTCCTCGGTGCCTTGTGATATTGTGGATGCAGGAACGCGATCCCGACTGAGCTGGATCGGCGAGGGCTTACACTTGATCGGGCAATCTCGGGGGTCACCTGACGGGTGACTCCGTCATTTGTGTACGAGTGCGACCTGTGGTGTCCGGAGCTTGCGAGCAGGTGGAGGGAGGGTCGATAAGTTTGGCTTGCCCTGTGACAACATTGTGGTCAGTTCTGCGACGGACATAGCGCCGGTCAGAGTGTCCAGGAAAAGATGCTCTACACGCGGGGGTCATGCGCCCCGCCTCCTGGGTATCCCAAGCGTTGATTGCGGGCCCTTAGATTCGACTGCTCGTGCTCGTGCCGGCGTACATTGCGATTGACTTACCCACTCGACAGCTCAGCAGTACGCCCAATTGCCGTACACAAGAGTACGCGCCCTCCATCCCCGTCACCCCATCGAGTTTCACCCCCTCTACTTCTACTTGCACTTCTCGCAAAACCCTCAGACTTCTTCCTCGCAAAACCACCACCGACGCTCAATATCGGCACACTTACCTACCCCTTCCCCGTCTCCATCTCCGCCTCCTCCATCCATCCCGGACGCCGTTTCGATCCTGCTCACACACCTGCCGACGTTTCCCGAATGCCGATATGCTCAGTATGGCCCCTTGTGCACACACCCGAACGCGTCGTGCGCTTTCGCGACGTTCCCGCCCGTCGAGAGGCTTGAGTTTGAGAACGGAGACGGGGAAGTGTTCATGATCGTCGAGAACCCTGAAGGATGCACGATCCTTGATGTCAATCGCGCTCTCGCGCAGCTGTCAGTAGGCTTATTTCTCATCAGCCTCTTACTGTCCTGCGCCGTCGCTCCTGAGGCCGCTGTCGTTCACAAGCGCTGACATGGACTGTCTTCATAGGATTCCGTTCGACGAGTACCACCTCGATGTCGCGTTGACGCATTATCAGGAGCTCGCTCTGACTTCGGGCATGTCGCTATCGCAATATGCGAGCACGATCTCTCGTGACAGAGGGTTTTTGGACGACCACGAGTACGCGTCAGACTCTCTTCCACCATAGTCTTTCTTGCTGACTTGATTCCTCGGTCTTTTCAGGTATCCGTTTCTCCATCATATCGTTTCCTCGATGTGACGCGAATGCGTGCTGGCTAAGTACTTAGTCTTGGTGACGTCTTCAGTGGGATTGTGCCATGCCGATGTGGGATCGCGCGGTGTCGTCGACGTTCGGCAATGTGTATTGTTGTTGTACTATCTTTTTTGGGTTTTCTGGGTTCAATGGGGACAGTGGGGTCGGTTTGTACCGACCGTCACCATACGCTACCCACTGTGCGTGCGTTCGGCACCGTTCTCTACACAACTCACTGCCGCGTTCCATGTGGTCCAGGTGCTGCTGATGCGACGGCGCATCACATCAAACACTGGCTTGCAGATGCTGCAGCATCATACTCAGCACGCCCTGTGACACCATTATATCGTTCACAGAGTACGCGCGCATATGTACCACGGGCTTCATGCTGGTATGTCGATCTCCTGGCATTCTGGTCCTTCGAGAAGCACCGCTACAGCGCTGGACAGGCAAACGACCATATGCTTCCGGCTAGTGGGCGACCGCTTGACTGATGACGTGCTATGACACAGTGCGGCAGGAATTACTGCCAACGTTCGTAATGTTCTGTATAGGGAGCATATGCTTTACTCGCGATGAAGGCTGAGCCAGCCCGCGGGAGCTGCGAAGCCACCGACGTTCCGCGAGCGGGCAAGGACATCGTGGCAAAGAACTACTCATGATAGTCCAGAGTTCTAGGGCTTCATCATGGGTTCGAGTACTGCGAGGGCTTACAGCGTATTCCATGACGGGTGCGCTCTTTCAATAGCCTCGCGAAGGAGGAAGCGCAACGGCCGCTTTCTGTACGTCATAATTCCACGACCATCGCAGCAGTTTCTTACAATGATAAGCCTTGCTAGGCCCAATCTAGTCGCATCTGAAGAAGGACCGCCTGATATGGCGCGCGTGCATGAAGTGCTTTCGGCGCCGCCTTATCATTCACGCGACCAACATGAAAAGGGAAGGCTGCTTGTGAATCTTATTTGTGTTTAAGGATTCTGATATCTGTGTTCTATAGAACACCTGGAGATGAGGGGGAACTTAACAGGTGATACGTGCATATATACCCCGATTAGCACCCTCGAGTTGGTAGCAGCGGGGACGGGAGGAGAGTGGAATGGCTCACGAATGGCACGATTGTCGTCAAGGACGAGCCTGAGATGGTAGCGGCAACGCCCCCGTCGGGTTTTGCCAAGTTAGGCAAGGCCAATCTTGGGCAGTCAGCGTCTTTTTCTCTCATCCAGAAGCGGATGAGGCGCCAATCGCTGATGCTCTGGAATCCGGTGTAGCATCCCACCGCCGACTTCCATGGTGATCGCCGCCGCAGAAGAGTCACGCGTCCCAGCGAATGGGCCTCTCTCTGACTTTGGGCTGCAAATCACCGTTCAATTCAGCGACTCTCCTATCCGAAGCACTCTTGCGTGCCGAATGTTCCAACACTCAGGTCCTTCCATGTGGTCGTCGAGAATGATTCTCAATGACGCGGTCCTTGGGCGCAGACCCATCATCCACCACTCTTAGGGCCAATGTCGTACATCTGTCCGTATCATTGCGTTCGGCGCAGTCAATGTTCGTGACTTCGCAAGTAGCCCGATGGAGGAAGTGCAAGTCAGGAAGAGGTCGCGCTGACATCTTACTCCCCGCTGCTCACGACTCGTTGCAGCGAAATGGTGCGTACTCGCGTGCTGATGCTTCGGACTACCTTGGATGGCCCCATCAGCCCGATGCAACCCTGCCGCCGGCGGAGCATGCCATACCGCAAATGCTCACGAACCACCGTGTTGCTACTGGGCTGCGCTCTCGGCTTTCTTTGATCGGAGTTGCAGGCTTGCTGCTCTCCTGCATGCGTCTTCCGTATGCTCGTGCGCGCAGAACCTTCGCAGTCGCGAAGTCAGGTCATGTAGATCGGACGATATATAAGGCCCCCCAAAACGCCATGACTCTTCAAGGATCGGGTTCAGCTCTCATCCTCTCCTGCCTGCCTCGTAGTCCTCACCAGCACCTACAATGGCTCGCCTCTCCGCCCTCATCGCGCTCACTGCCGCAGCGGTCGCCGTCTCGGCGAAGCCGATCCTCGTTCGCGACTCGCCGGTGACGGTTCCCATTGCGCGTCGCTTCAACTCGACCGGCGTGCGCAACGTCTTGAAGGCGGACCAGGCTCGCGCCCAGGCGCTCAAGGCGCGCTCGCAGGCATCCAAGAAGCACCTCGGCGCGATCAACAAGGTCTTCACGGACGTCGACGTGCCTGTGACCAACGTGGCCGAGATCTACACGGCGAGTGTTGGCGTTGGCACGCCCCCGACCACCTACAACCTCATCATCGACACCGGCTCTTCGAACACGTGGGTCGGCGCAAGCACGGCCTACGTCCAGACCAGCAGCAGCGTTGATACTGGCGATGAAGTGGTAAGTTCCTGATGCGACTTATCTCATAGTCGCTCGGAAGCATCCGCTCACGTGTCCTCGCTTGGGCCCTTGCAGGAAGTCAGCTACGGCTCCGGTTTCTTCTTTGGTGAGGAGTACACGGACACCGTCACCATCGGCGACCTCGTTATCAAGAACCAGGGCGTTGGTGCCGCCTTGTTTTCCGAAGGCTTCGACGGCGTCGACGGTATCCTCGGTATCGGCCCCGCGGACCTGACGCAGGGCACGACCTCTTCTGGGGACACCATCCCCACCGTGCTTGACACCGCGTTCGCCGCGGGCACCATTGATGCGAACCTGATCGGTATCTCGTTCGAGCCCACGACGGAGGCCTCTGTCACCAACGGCGAGCTGTCCTTCGGCGCTGTCGATGACAGCAAGCACACCGGAGACATTGCATTTGTGTACGTGTGTGCCCTTGTGTGAGCACGATATAATGGGCTAACGAGACACGCGCAGCCCGATCACTTCCACTTCTCCCGCGTCCGAGTACGTCGGTATTGACCAGTCCATCACCTACGGCTCGGCGGGTACTACCATCCTCTCCTCGACTGCTGGTATCACCGACACTGGCACCACTCTCGTCCTCCTCGCTTCTGGTCAGTCGCTTAATTGTTGGCCTTCAGTATATACACCTGACGTTGCATATTACAGATGCGCTCGCCAAGTACCAGAGCGCGACCGGTGCCGTCGCGGACAACTCCACTGGCCTCCTGAAGATCACCCAGGCCCAGTTCGACAAACTCGAGAGCCTGTTCTTCCACATCGGCGACAACACCTACGAGTTCACGCCCAACGCCCAGATCTGGCCGCGCTCTGTATGCTTCCTACCGTCACTTTCTCAACGCGGATACTGACGCGCTTTGTCGCAGCTCAACTCCGCCATCGGCGGCGATGCCAACAGCATCTACCTCGTCACCGCCGACCTCGGCTCGAACTCCGGCCAGGGTCTCGACTTCATCGACGGTTACACCTTCCTCGAGCGGTTCTACTACGTCTACGATGTCGCCAACGCCCAGGTTGGTTTCGCGACCACGCAGTTCACGAACGCCACCACCAACTAGGGTCGAACGCTGGAGCGAACCCACGGCATATCACATTGGCTATAGATCATCGCATATTGTCACGGACCTTACGAAGTAGATACCACGACCTCACGAGGTAGATACCAGGGATATGCAAACAATCAACGGGTTTTGTCAGTTCGTTCGCGCTGTCTGCGGCATTGTCACGGTCCCCTCTCTGTATGACCTCCGCACGCGTAGAGCTATCGCGTCTGGGTCGCTGTGGTTTCGAACTGATGCGTAGTTACGAAGACATGCGGGTATGCTCCCTCTTGGTCTAGGAATGTGCACAAGGGCCTCTTCTTGGAGTCTGTGGAGAGCGAGCTGGCCCTCGCCATGGAGGGTAGATACGTAAATACTGATTACGCAGAACGGACTGTCCCCTGTCCGCGAAGTCTTTCGGGAAGGTGCCCAATACATGTCCCTTGCAATACTGACCTCGTTTACGGAGCGCCTACGAGTTTTTGAAGGACAGGGACAGACACGCGTTCGTTTCCATCTCTTTCCAATCCTCGGGTAGGGAAAGGAGGTTTCGGGGCATCATAAGCTCCTGGAATGTCCATCCACGCGTGAATTACCCGCTCGCCCGGAAGCGCGAGTCCTTGGCCCAGACGTCATCTCCGTGAGGAACACCTGCCGAAATGCATAGCGGACCTCGGAGTCGCCGTTCCAGACGTACATCGAGTTGATCGCTTTGGGCAGCTCTGAGCTGCTCGTTTGTCGATACAGCACGAGTCGATCCACAGAAGGGGGTATCCGGCTGCATGCGCCGTCTCGCACGCTAGATAGACCTTATCTGAGAGCCGAGAATACCGCCAAATCGCAGGTAGCTTAACGAGTTCCTGCTTCGGTGCATGTGGAGCAGATTCAGCCTGCAGGGCTGGCACGAGTAGGGGATTATCAGGGACGGGATCGACTCAAGAGATATTTAGGATGCAGACGCTGCAGGTGTCAATCATGGTTGCCAGTCCATCAGCAAAAGTGCAGAAATCCCCTGAGGGATTGCACCGATTGCCTGAAGTGCGAAAAAGGGCACGGGCGCTCAATATAGCGGCCCAGATCGCCCGACCGCGCAATCGTCAGAATTCGTCGCATTGTTCGTGGCGCATTTCCTCGCCGCGCGATCTTTTCTGTTCCGTGCACGACAAGGAGACCATGTATGATACATATGGTATAAATAGAAAGAGTTTTGTGATCGCAGAGGAAGACTCAGCGTGCCCGAAACACATGAACGCGCACAAGTCGTGCATTGTGAACAGCCGTTAGTGTCACGCCTACCCCTACATCCCCAAGTTTCTGCGCCACGCGATGTGCTTCCTTCCCCCCGGCGATCATCACCTTCAGTGTACTACCCTGTGCGAGGCCCAGGACGGACTCGGCCACCGTTGCAATCACATCCACACCCTCAGCCTCAACGACAAGCGTCGCGGATCCTTTCCTGATCCCATCGAACCACTCCCCGAGGTGTCCATCCGTCTGATGAAGGAGTGAATGACGGGGAGCTGTGATCTGAGTGCGGATGCTCTGAGGACAGCCGAGTTAAATCGAGACATGCACGAACCCTGCCCTTGTACGATCGCCCCACCCGCAAACTGATGTAGGGTCGCGAGGGAGAAGGCTGTTGGACCATATATATGACTTGGGATGACGCTGCAGGTAAAACAACTGCAATCGTGTCGAGATATCAGTACCGCATTCGAATGCATGCCATGGTGCAACAAGAAATTCCACATTACGATGCTTGAAAATCCTGACCACGATCTTCCACATATCTCACTAGTGCATGTTGCTTCGAACTCCGATAAGCTTGGTGGCTGCGTCCTCCTGCCCCGACTCGTATTCCGCCCAAGCTTTGCGACGATCTCTGCAGGCCACATTCTGCCCAAAGTGCGCCTACTGCTGTTGCTTTGAACGAACACTGGGTAGTAGTCCAGGAAAGACAAACGCGGGTTTGTCTAGCGCTTGCAAGTCGGACTCCATGCTGGTCATGACTCGTGAGTGCAAGAAGTCCAGGAAGACCACCGATCGTGGCAAGAAGAGGCTCTCGAGAGGGTAGAAAGACGAGCGCAACATAAGATGTGCTGCTCCCGCTCTCTGCTCACGGCCGAGCTACGTAAGTCAAGCAGTCTACTTACTGTCCAAATGCTTGATAGAAATCGTCTGCAATGAGGGACGGGGTTTTGGCGTTGTAATAGGTTTGCTAGAGGCCAGCCGGCGTCACGGTCGAGCTCAACGACCAGAAGCAGCGACCATCATCTTACGTAAGCTGCCATGCACGCTCATCGCTTTCAACGTTCTCAGCCTGTCTTTCATCCTTTCCTTCATCAACTACGACGGCGGCGAGCATTGCATCGCTGCCCTATCTGATTGCCCTTGCTCTCCGTGCTGATCTCCGGTAAAATCTGCGACCAGTGGTTCATCCTGACGGCTTCACTGTTCCACCAACATCACAAGTTGCCGTCTCTGTGGTACTTGCCTTGAACGCTTCTCGTTTCTGTTCGACTGGTGCTCCGTGCATTAATTGCTGAAGGCAAGGGTTTCTCGTCTGCAGTCATAAATACGTCATAGACGCGATCAGGCGCCTGAGGATGAATATCGGCACACGTTCTCTCTGTCTAGTGCCAAACATTTCACATTTGACAGGTCTTCAGCTCAGCAAACTCCGACCCTCGTGCATATAAGGACCAACTGTCCATGACGAACGGCCTGACATCTTATCTTCCCATCTCCTTCCTGCACAGCGACCTCTTTCCGCATGCTTACCCCTCCCTCCGTCGCTGCAGCATGCGGCCATGTTTGCGTCCCATCCAACCTCAATGCTCAGATACTCATAGCAGCCTGACATCGATAGATCTCCCACATCCTTGCTGGCGTCTGAGGCAAGTTCACCATTTGAGGTGCGTCCGTTGTTGCAAGTCCCGGTCATCTCAACATCACTGACTCGCTCTGCTCACACTTTCTAGCCCTAAGTAATGCCGCACCACTGCAGGTATGTATGTCCTGTGCCTGTTCGTGAGGCGTTACAATGCAGGTGCTAGCCCTGATGCTGATATCTAGATAATGCTGTAAGTAGGCGCATATATGCATGACCGCGGCCATGGCGGAGGAGTTCGCATCCAATCTGCGGACGGATACGTGCATTCCCACCACGGCAGATGCGGTGTAAGTGAGGGGATTCCTTTTGCTTGTGTTGATGGTCATTGAATCTTGCCGGGACCTGTCTAGCTGAATTCATCCTCATACAATCTCTGCATCCCAAAAACGCGTCGGTGTGTGCCTCGCTAATGGCGTTGGTTTAAAGCTTCGCTCCCGTGAACACATTTGCAATGGACACCCTTGGAGCACTGGCCAAGGATCGCATAGGTGCAACCATCCCGCTTCGAGTCTCCTTATGCTTCGCTGCCTAAGTGTGATGGCTCGGGATCACCCCCGCTCCGTCGAAGCTTGGTCTTGAGCAGCAATCTAAACTTTGCATAGGATGGAACAGCGGTACAATATTTGTCACTTCTACCGACCACTCCGGGCTCCTTGGAATTGAAGGAAGACTGGACCGACCTCCCGAAGCGGGCTGAGTGGCTAAGGCTCGAGCGAACGAGTAAGTATCCAATCACTGTGCACGCTCACATCCATACCTCACCTCATGTCGCTTCAGAACACCTCCAACAGAGATCAATTCTTATGGTCTGGTACGCTTGTTCTATGGTTGTATGCTCGCACGCACACCTGAGCTAACGGCTGACATCTCGTGCTATATTACGAACCTTGCGCTCATGCTCATGGCCACTCTTGTGGCCTCGCACTGTCTGCGTCGTCACTGATTCGCCCTTCAATTCTTCTTGTGGAGAAGGTTGCGAACATCCACCACTAGCGACCATGACCTGGCCCTCCGCAATCCCTTACCTCCGCGGCCTATCCCTCCTAATCTCACCTACCTGGACGCACTCATAGCTCCTGCACCCCACTAGGTCATGCAACTCGCGCACCAGGACACGGTCTCGCTATCCATTGGGGTTGGCACGGTGCGTCTCATGTCTACGCATACAACATTCTGCCCATCTACCAGCATTTCTGGCTACTCGCCGTGGCCCCTGCACTCTTCGCAGCGTGCGTGCTCTCACCGCACTATGCGCTCGCCTATGTGGCCCTCATCGCGTGGTGCACTTGCGACAATCTCGGATGTGATGTCGTTCTATCGTGCGGGGCCATGGCATCCGCTTGCGCAGTACGCGCAACAGGGAGTCTACAGCCTGCGCTGGGGAGAGAGATGATCAAACTGCTGGAGGGGAGGGAGCACGCGTAGGACCCGACGCTGGAGGTATGTCTCACCGCATATCTATATCTATGTTGTAGTCTCGCACACATGTCACCGTCTATATTATCTCATATATCTATTTGACTGTATATGTTTATCTACCCTTGAGCTGATGCTAGAAGTATAGCATGCAGCCGTAGGATAGTTAGGTCCAGTCATCGCCCCACCATGCAATCTTGACATTACAAGATAATGTCCGCGACACTGTCGATTGTCGATGAATCCTTGCCACTGCTGGCGTCGCAATTTCACATTGGCCAGCATACTCAATCGAAAGATGTGCATGCACTCCTGTTCTAGACGGCGCTCAAATGTGACCATCGCCTCCTACGACCATCTCACCAATGCGGTGCAATGCTCGTGATATCTTCGCGCCATTGCATTGTATTCTCATACATTGCATACCCAGGCTGTTTCTCATGCGCACATTGCCTTGGATAACCAGGCTGCATGATAGCCCGCCATATTTCCTCGTCTGTGCACTATATTTTGGCATTTGCCTGGGGGCGTAATTTCTGTCATTGTTTTTACATTTTTGCTGATGTCTAGGCCATACGGGTTTTGAATATCCTTGAGCTCTTGGTACGTTTGCTCGTCGCTCGAGTCCCAGGTGTGGGATAAAATGGCGCGTCTCGTCTCGATGGAGCTCAGAACTTCGATGGAGTGTCCAGTCCTGGTATGTCGTAGTCGCATGAAGGAGACGGGCTGACGAACATTGGGTAGGTTTAGTGACCGGAGACAGTATTGAAAAGGTTGCGTACACGATGTAGTATCGCTGGAGGCCTTGCTCGGGGGGGAAGTCAAGATAGTGAGCGGCGTACTTTACAGTGAGGGGTGTCACGCCTGCTTTCCGATTCCTCCGTTATAGTATGCTCAAAGGATGAGTTGTACAAAGGATGAGTTGTACAGTGAGGAACAAAGAAACGGTCCTTGATTGTGTGCGGTTGGCGCACGATCCCTCGCGTTCCTTATTTGAGCAGAGGGGTAGTTGAATCGAGATGTGTTGAACCCGGGGGGCGAAGGCCTCTCCCACGGGTGGCAACGACAGCGGATAGCCTGCAACTCACCTAGAAGGGTTGTTGGTTATAAGAGGCTTGTTAGAGCGATGAGAGGAGACGTTCGAGTGAACTGAACTGTAGATTGGGGGTACAGAGGTCCCCTATATATACTACTGTACATCTGTGGCTACGTAGTACTATACAGTACATTCCCAGGATGCACAGTCGCACAGAGAAGCAGTGCGTACACAGCGAAGCTGTGTGTGTACCAC